TTAAATTCCGTAACATAGACAGTGGGTACTCGTTTCTGACTGAATTCTGAGTTAGTGTTACTATCCCGATTTAATCACAAAATTGTATTAATAACTTTTTTCTTAAAATTTTTCACTCTTTCCCAAAATATATAGCGAATGCAATGGCTTTTTAACACCCTCTATACGACAGCAATCTGTCATCTTCCATAACTAACAAGGTAAAATTGTGTAATATAGTATGGTTTGATATTCATGGAAAAAAATAAGTCAAAATGAACAATAACCGATCTTTTTTCTTTTCACGCTTTTAAAGGCGTCGATATTTCAAGCAAAAAGAGAGACTACGTTTCTCCGATACACCGTGATAACCAAAATATTCCGAAACTCGATCAACTTCCCCAAACACCTCACTATCGAATTTGGAATGGCCCGAACTCGGTCAAAGTTCTAGGAGAAATTCCCACATAAGTACTTCAACCCAAAATTCATTGACCAATAGACAAAATACACCTATCAGTTCTCCTTGGGATTCACCACGGTCGACCTCTTCTACCAAATCTTCTCCTTTACACCCAAAACCTAATAAACCCTCATTTGCTTCCGTGGCTTTTATAAACAATGAAAGAGGGGATGGACAAGTGGCACCACCTCAATCTGGATCAATATCTCCCACCTCAAATCACAATACTAACAACAACAATCCTTCACCTCAATCTAGTACACGATCTCCCACCAACAACAGCCCCCCTTTACATCCCACCAATAACAGACCTCCCTCTCCTCAATCTAGTGTACAATCTCCCACCAACAACAATCCTCCTTCACCTCAACTTGGTACAGCATCTCCCACCAATAATAGATCTCCTTCGCCTCAATCCCCCATCAATAATAGACCTTCATCCCACGGGTCTACCACGTCACATGTCTCTAACATCCGCAACAATAAACCTTCTTCTCAATCTTCCCCTCAATCTTGGCCAAGACCTCCAGCCAATCCCCAAAGTCACCTCAAACCCATTTCTGCATCAGGGAACAAAAAACCAGAAACAGTTGACATAAACGAAGATGATGTTACGAACAGGCAACAAACCAATCCGACTGAAGATCAGGAGCTGAGGGAGTTTTCAGAAAATTTGCTTCGAAAGGAGATAAACAGTGCAATGAATACAATAACTGTCAACTACCAAGGTCAAACGACATCCAGATCTTTGAAAGATGAAGCTCCATTACCGTAAGATTATTTTGTACCATTTTCTACTAATTTAAGGTTAAGCAAGGGCTGTTATGTAGATATTTTTTATTACTATGTTCCACGACACCCAATAAAAACAAAAAATAAAGGACATCGCGAAATTATCAATATGGCGGATGTTAGACGCCATAATAGCGTGGCCTAAGAGGTGATTAACAGAAAAATAGTTTGAAAGATTGTATACAAATGAACTTTTATTAGTTTTACAGCCAATTTGTGGGTTGAGTGTTGTTTATAGTAAAATTCAGGAGTTTGGATGTTAAATTTCACTTGTTAATAATTTGTAGATTGATAGCAGTTACAAATGGAACATTCAAAATAGCAACTATTGAACTTCTAAGACCGCTATACGATAATTACATTTTGGAAACAGCACAAAACGAACACGTTACACCAATGGAAAGAGAAGAAGAAAACAAACTATTGGACGCGGTTGTCAACACTCAAGTTATGAGATTTACAAGGAACTTCTTGATCGATAAAGGTACTAATCTTTTAACGGAAATGCAATCAGAATTTAGGAAGAACCAAAACAAATACCTGTCCTCCACTTGTTTATATTGGATAAACAAAGTTAATTGAATTTGTGTTCCAAATAATTTTACAAAAATTTAATCTTTACTTTAATATTTTCAAAATTTTTAATTCACCGGATTCAGGATGTTATTTAAAAAAAATAACATTTCAAAAATAATAAATTAAATAACGGAAACACGTAATTAACAAGACACACAGCATATAATGTTTTTATGTACACATACTGCGTTTTCTTTTAGGGAAAATTGGAAAAGATCCGAAAGAGTTCAGAGATTATTTGAAACAAATCTGGTTTACAATGTACTCCAGGGGCAAAGGTAAAATTGGATCAAGTGGTTTCGAACATGTGTTTCTAACAGAAATAAGAGACAGTCAGATTTCCGGATTACACAATTGGCTGTACTTCTACGAAGAAGAATCCAGAGGAAACGCCGACTATTTAGGATATATGAGGAAAATTGAATTTGGAAATGTATGTAAAATAATCTTTTATTGTGTTTAACCATGACAGATAGTTGATTTTTCAAAATAGGCCTCATTATGTGTTTTAATCTCATTTTTATTTTTCGGTGTTCTTTATTTCGTTGGGCGATCGTACTTTCGGTTGTTCCTATGTAAACTTTTCTACAAAGATATAGAATCTTCTAAACTTTATAGTGTGGTAGTTTAGTTTTTAAGGTCTGTGCGATCATTTTCGGGGGCTTGAAGAAGTAAACTACAAAGCTCACGAAACATCAGAATAAAATAAAGTCCAAAAGCTCAAGAGCAATAGAACGAGTACCCACTATCGATTATTTTAAAACCTAAACTTATTAAAAATATTCTACATCACACAATTAACAATTACTTATTTTTTTTTGTATTTCCTCTCTAGAAAGGATCAATTTTGAAATTCCACTTTAAATTCCGTAACATAGACAAGCNCTAAACTTATTAAAAATATTCTACATCACACAATTAACAATTACTTATTTTTTTTTGTATTTCCTCTCTAGAAAGGATCAATTTTGAAATTCCACTTTAAATTCCGTAACATAGACAAGCCTGTTGGCAGTATGTTCATTGGTACGAGTCCCGAATTCGAAATGGCCCTTTATACGACATGTTTTGCCCTAAGGGCGAATCGCATCTGCCCTCTACAACTAGACGGGAAGAGGTTCATAATAAGGACGTACAGCATGCGGTACAGAGGAAAGGAGAACATTGGAAGTGCTTTTCCAGAAATTTAAGGATTATTACATAATGATAATTCCCTGCATCAATTTTTATTCTACTATGGAATAAAATATAGATTTTTTTTCACATTTGGAATACCTATCTGTATGTGTAAACTGTAACTAACTTAAGTTACTAATTAGGTACCTAAGTACAATTTGTATTTTAAGTAAATTATAAAAATATTTATGCATTTCTTTTACGAATAGTTTAGGTTTAGAACAATAAAAATTGGTTTACTGAATGATTTTGGTCAATTTTTAAATCTTTTAGGTACAGACCATCTTACCGCTCATACGTATTAAAATGCATTTTGTACTAAATTCAAAAATTGTACTACAACATTACACCTCAAATAATCAATCAGATTTTGAAAAGTGATCATAATCGACTGTAAATGCATTAACAGTATTTCAACTTTAAATACAACTCTTAATACTGCTCTCATTTTTCAATTTCAGATTGAAATTAAAATAAAATATAGGCAGTTCTGATTTTGGGTGCAAGAAAAAATCAAATAAGTAATAATTCGACATGCTATAGTTTTTTTTTTCAAGTTTTCTTTTCAGTAGATTCAGAAATAAATGAGAGACATGCTTTTTAAACGTATTTCTAAATTGAATATTTAGTTTTTGAGATAATAAAAAATAATGATATCGGTAGATACATGACTGACCTTAAAAACTCCAAAACTTCGGAACTCACGAGCGAGCCGTGTAACCAGTCGCCCCGCACGCTTTTTCTGGTCTTCAATTCACCGCTAGTGTTTATAAATTATTATCTATTATAACCATAGCTAATGGAATTAAATTTGTCACTTTACATATAATTCCATATAGAATTAATAAATAATTAATGATTTTCGAAGGTTTTGGTTCCTAATTCTAAATAGTAATTGCTAATAAATCGTTATTCACAGACGTAAAACAAAGTGATCCTATAAAATATGGGATCCGTTTTTTTATTCCGAAAACAAAGTTAAATCATCATCATAAGGTCGTGAGTCCTAAGACTAGTTGGATACGCATCTCCACTATTTCCTATCCTGAGCTAATCTTCGAATTTCCTCAAAACCAGAACAAATATGAAGATTGGAAAAACTTTGGCGGTTGTTGTAGAACAAACAGAATAGCTCAAAACCCCAACGCCAAAACACGACACTGTAGTTGTCCGAAGCACTTTTCGGTANTAAAAAAAGGATCACATAAAAATGTAAATTCCCTCTTGCCAAATTATAGTTAAACGTTTTTCTTACGTCAGCGAAATGGTTATGGAGTTCCGGCCTCGTAATCCTACTTCCTCACGGTTATGATGGTACGGGGCCCGACCACAGTTCCTGCAGATTGGAACGATTCCTTCAACAAACTTCTTCAAAAGAAGACAAAGTTGATGGTGACAACGTTAATGTAGAAGTATGTCAACCATCTACTTCTGCTCAGTATTTTCACCTTTTAAGAAGACAGGTACATAACTAACGAGAATTGTCCGAACTTAAGTATAAAAGATTCATGATCATCATAAGGTCATCAGTCCTAAGACTGATTGGACACGCACCTCCACTCTTTCCTATCCTGAGCTAATCTTCGAATTTCCTCAAATGTCGTGTTTTGGCGTTGGGGTTTTGAGCTATTCTGTTTGTTCTAAAACCAGAATAACCCACATCCTTAACTATTTGCGAACAGTAATTTAATCTAGGTCTACCTCTACTCTTCTTAACTCCTGTTTCTGTCTCAAATATAACTCTGACTAGACGTTTGCGAACATGAAGTGTTTTTTTTATTGAAGACGACGCGATCTGCGCTATTCTTTGCTTTATATCCCTACCACTCCTTCCGTCTTGACTTATATGACTTCCTAGATACCTAAAATCAGTTACTTCTTCTAATTTTTCGTCTCCTATCTTTATATTCGCTCTTTCCCTACTTTTTCTTCACTAGCACACCAGTATTTTTGTTTTACTTATATTTATTTTCATACAGTACTGTTTTGTCAACACCGCTTCCATTTTATTTAAAACTATTTCTAACTCTTTGCTATATGCTGTATCATCTGCAAATCTAAGCATAATCGTTTTCTTCCGTATATCTATCCCTACAGTTGCCCTGTCTTTAACGATGTTAATCGCGTCTTCGATGTATAGATTAAAAAGTAGCGGTAACAATGTGCATCCTTGTCTGACTCCCTTCCCAATATTTACTTCTCTACGTTATAGCTTTAGCTCTATAACTGCCTGTTACTCTTTATACAAATTAAGTATGACTCTTCTATCTCTGCAACTTATCCCTACATTTTTAAGTATATTTAACGTCTTGTCCCACTTAACATAGTCAAAAGCTTTTTCTAAATCTACAAATGCTATGTACGCACTGTTTCCTTTTTCTATCGTCTTCTCTTTTGTTACCCGTAAAGCTAGAATGGCCTCCCTCCCGCGTTCCTCTATTTCTTCTGAACCCAAATTGTATAAAAATTGGTCTGAGCACATTTTGGTCGGTGCTAATACGACTAACTTCCCATTAGATAATACAGTTATTGTAAAGTACATTCGTTTCTAAAGTTTGAAAAAAACGCGGCACAATAATAAATAACAAACAATGTTTGAGAGTTCGTCATTTTATAAACCCATAAGAAACAGTATTTCGTCTGAGAAAACCGAATTGATAGAGTACTTGCATCAGTCAATTGGTAAATACTATTTTTTATTGTTTATCGATTGTTTATAACAATTCATTTTGTTATAAACAAATTTTTATTATAATATGTTATTATAATATGTTATTCCCTGTCTTGAATAATGATATTTCGTTATTATTGATTCCGTAACTTCATTGTTGTGATTAGATTAGAACGTATTTTAATTAAATTGTTTGTAATTAATTCGTTTTTTTTTTTATAAAAAAAAAACNCATTGAATTGTTCATCTTCATTTTGTTCAATCTTGAAAAATATATATCTTTCAAAAGATATGTTTGTTTTTGGTGCAAAATACTCTTTAAACCTATCTTTGATAACTTGTAGGTTATCTGTTTCCACCTCGCTGAGATTGAAACTATTATAAATTTCGATCGCATCTGGGCCTATCACAGCCATAAATGTTGCTGCCTGGACCTCGGCTGGCTTTTTATCTAGTTGGATAGCAGTGGCATACCACTCAAATTGTTGTAACCACTTTTTCCAGCTCGTTGATTTGTCCGAGTCGATTTGTAGGTTAGCTGGCGGCTTTATTCCTGATACTGCGTCGTTCGTGGCCATTTCACAACTTTCTCACTTTTTCCTGTTTATTGACGCTTTATCCCACTTCTGACACCATGTAATATTGGGTTTCCTTAATTAAAACGTTCGTTTAATAACTAAGTAAGTGATATATATTTATCGTGATCAGATACAGGAATGTTATATCAACTACTCTTGGCAATGCTGGTTCGCAATGCCGTCACTAGATGTCTATACTTTACAGATACAACCCATCGTTACGGTCCTCTTACATGAAGGAGTCAAAAATGGATGAATTTCGCGTTAGATACGTAATTTATGGACGCAACCCCTTATTGCCAATATTCCATTAAAATAAATGAGTCCGTCCCTGATCTCACTGTTTCATTGGCAACGATAAAGACGTATTTAATTTAATATTTAATAAACAAAAACAACGTGAAATTCAGTCTATTATCTGTTAGCGCACTATTCTCTGATAACGCGAGTCAATACGAAACATGTGTATGTATCTGCATCATATGCGATGATAAATAATACATTATTTAACTATATTGGATAATTAATGTTAAGTAATGTAGGTACTTAGTTGCGATTCGATTGTTTCTAGTTGATACAATGCATATAGAAAATTGCGGAAAGTTTTTTTTTGTTTTAAAAAACTCCACGCGCTCAAAGTTTAATTTTTACCACACTGATAAGACGTTCGGATACAAGTTCAAACCAGTGAAGCAATACGAAGGTTAGTTGAACTGTATTTTATTCGTTTTTAAGGCAAAACGTCTTTGATCCTAGGGAATTGTATTAAATCTGTACATCTATACTCTGCACTGTACTGTACTGTCACTTATCAATTTGAAATCAAATAAATAAAAAGTAATGTTCAAAATAAAGTAGAAACTGGAAGGAACTGATAATTATTAAGGTGGATGGAGACGATTATCCGCCTCACCACCTTGACTGACTTCTAATTATTTATTTTTTTATCCATTTTTGAACTGAAATAAAAGTTTCTTTCAATGATGCTCGTAATCATTGTCTTCTTTTTAAGCTCTAATGTCATATTTACTATTTTATTTTCAGTTCCTACAAAAGTGTTGGAAAATAGAAACAAGGAAAGTAATTTCTACAGACTTGTCACCGCGTACCGAGAAAATGCACATCTTGTTGCGAACATCAATCCTATCAATTTAGATCGAAATACGCCGAGGTAAATATAGTAGGACTTATACGAGGGTGGATTGATAAGTTTCCGGCCTGACCAAGAAAAACAAGGTTTTTAAAAATTTTTTTTTTTTATTTCTCAACATAATCTCCTCCAAGGCTGATACATTTCTCATAGCGGTGTTCCAGTCTATTAATGCCATCTCTATAGACTGATTCGTCAAGCTCCTCAAAATAACCATTTACAGCTTCGATTACTTCTTCATTGTCCGCAAATCTCTTACCGCCAAGCCATTTTTTGAGATTAGGGAACAGAAAATAGTCACTCGGGGCTAGGTCTGGAGAGTAAGGAGGGTGCGGCATCAATTCAAACTTTAGATCGTTGATTTTAGCCGTCGCAACGATTGACGTGTGCGCTGGTGCGTTATCGTGATGAAACAAGATTTTTTTCTTCGCCAGATGAGGTCGTTTAATTTTCACCTCGTGGCTCAAACGTTGCAATAAGTCTGCGTAGTATTGACCAGTGATAGTATTACCCTTTGCAAGGTAATCAATGTATATAATACCTCTTGCATCCCAAAAAACAGTAGCCATAACCTTGTTCGCCGAAAAAATTGTTTTTGCCTTCTTTGGAGTTGGTTCCCCTGGTCCAATCCACTGTTTAGACTGTTCTTTGGTTTCAGGAGTGTAGTGGTGGACCCACGTTTCGTCAACGGTTACGAATCGACGCAAAAATTCGCTTGGATTACGCTTATACAATGACAAATTTGCGGTAGAAATGTTTTTTCGAATCAATTTTTGGTCGACTGTTAGCAAACGCGGCACCCATCTTGCACAGAGCTTTTCCATATGCAAATGTTGGTGCAAAATATGTTGCACACGTTCATATGACATCTTACAGGTCTCAGCTATCTCACGCACTTTCAATCTGCGGTCTCCCAGCACTATTTGATGAATTTTTTCGATCATATCTGGAGTTGTGACCTCAACGGGGCGTCCTGAGCGAGGCCCATCAGAGGTGCTCACACGACCCTTTTTAAACTCGGAAACCCACTGCTTAACGGTTGAATATGACGGGGAGGATGTCCCCAGTGTTGAGTCCATCTCTTTTTTAATTTCCTTCGGCGTTAACCCCTTCAAATAAAAGTATTTGATGACAGCACGATTTTCCTGCTTTTCCATTTTTACGAAAACCACAGAGGCGTCTTGTTCAGCGTGCTGTCAAACCTACACTAGCAAGGAGATCGGGCTGAAACTATAGCTACAAGCTATCCAAGGATGGTACTATAGAATGTCACCTCAAGGTAGGCCTAGTGGCGTCATCTCTTGGTTAGGCCGGAAACTTATCAATCCACCCTCGTAGATGATTAGTATGAACGGTTATTTCATCGGTTTTATATTTTTTCAAATTTCAGAGTATTACAAGAACTGGATCCAAAAACATACGGATTAAAAAAAGAAGATGAAGTGAATTTTGTCGATATTATTCATCATGACAAACCCAAAGGAACCGTGAGCGAAGCACTAGAATTTTTAAACAAAGTTTATTGTGGAAATATTTCTGCACAATTTTCTTATTTGGAGGTAGAAAAGATAACAGTTTTGTATAATTTACTGGTTTATTAGTTGTTAAATATTATTCATGTTAATCAACTTGAAATGATCATAAAACTTTTAAGTACTTGAAACGAGAACGCAATTTTTTTTTTGTTATTTAGGAAATCGAAAAAGAATGGTTTTCAAAAGAATTCGAAAAAACAACTCAAGATATTGTAACGGAAAAGGAAAAGGTTGCATTGGCGAAAACGTTACTGAGATCGGAAGTTTTCGATAATTTCTTAGCAAAAAAATTCACCACCGTTAAAAGATACGGCTGTGAAGGCGCAGAGGGGATGATGGCGTTTTTTCAAGAATTCGTTAAACTTTGCGCTTATGGTATTTGTTTTCTTGTACGAGTAAAAACCACCTCGGCGCAATCATTATCATTTTACTCATCTACTCTTTGTATTGAAATTACTAGATACGATATTTTATTGTAGATAGCGTCGACACTGTAGTTGTAGGAATGCCTCATCGTGGCCGATTAAATTTACTAACTGGTCTATTAAATTTGCCCCCTGTAAAACTATTCACAAAATTAAAAGGTCATCCGGATTTCCCGACGAAATATGAATGTAGCGGTGATGTTATCAGTCATCTCAGTAAGACGTTACTTTTTTTCTTTTTTTTTTAATTTTTTTGAAGTCACTCCTTTGTTCCTCTAGTTTCAACTACCGAACTTAACATAGACGACAAAAAATTAAACGTAACAGTACTGTATAATCCGTCCCATTTGGAAGCAGTCAACCCTGTCTCCATGGGAAAAACGCGAGCCAAACAATTGTCACACGGGGATGGGGATTACTCCGAGAACGAGACGTCCAGATGGAGCGACAAAATTTTAAATTTACAGGTATACAAACTATATGGCAATGTCTNCATTTATGGTAATGTAAAAGTTGATGGTATATTAATGATAGCCTTCTCATTTATCGCTAATTTGTCGCTTAAGGATTGTATTCTTCCCCATTTTGTCGCGAGTCTAGTCTCGAGTTGATCAGCGAAAAGAATTGGAGTCGAGAAATACTGAAATGACTGCCTTCGCGTTTATCGCTAATTTGTCGCTGAAATAGTACTTTTACTCATTTGGTCGCGAATCCAGCCGACCAGCAAAAAGCGACTCCAAGCTGATACTACGCTCAACTTTACCGCTGTTCCTCATTTCGAAGTTGGTGGGTCGATACACTTCGTGGTGAATAATCAATTGGGATTCACTACCCCCGGTGACAGGGGTAGAAGTGCAGAATATTGCACAGATCTAGCGAAAATCGTTCTGGCACCTGTACTACACGTCAATGGAGACACCCCTGAGGTTAATTCCATTTAATTAATTCATTCATCCGTAAATTACTACAGCGCAATGACTACAGATGGCGTTCATAAGTTGATTATAGTAATTCATAGAACGCTATCGAAAGGAGACAGATGGAGTTGGCCCGTATTCTGTTGGAATTGTTTATGGTGTGCTGATGAGGTCCAAAGAGATCTAAATGGCGATCCACGCTGACAGTTTCAACGGAATACTAACCGCCATGAACTTTTTATTCCATTAATTCCATACAAATAAATATATTCATCAAATGATGATAATAATTTACTTAACAGGCAATTCTGAAAGCGACCCGAGTAGCGTTCAAGTATCAAAGGGAATTTAGAAAAGACGTTTTCATTGACCTAAACTGCTATCGTCAATGGGGTCACAACGAATTGGACGATCCCACATTTACAAACCCGACATTGTACAAAATTATCCGTTCTAAAAGGTACTCCACATGTAATATCCGACTTATATATAGGATGGTCTTAAAGCGTACGGTTCTGTGAGATATCTTTTGAACTTTTTAGAACAGTACCCCAAAGGTATTCTGACGATCTGATAACTCAAAATTTGATAACCGAAGGACAAGTGCACTCAATTCGATCTCAACATGAATCCTGGCTGAACAGTAACCTGTCTCAAGTGGAATCATACAAACCACAGGTAGAATACCCTTTCCGGTTAGATAAAATAAGTAAATATGGATAATCTTATTCTTAAAAATAGTAATCACCACGTTGTTGTCAAAGTTGTCAGTTTCCGAAGACTAGAACATCCTTTATATAGGTCTTAATCTACCCTCTATTTTACTACTGTTTCTGATGTAGATATCAAACCAACATAACAAAGTTATATATTTTTTATTTCTAAAGATGGTACTATTGTCGCGAGTCCAGCCTCGATTTGATTATCGAAAAAAATCGGAGTCGAGAAATACTAAAATGACTGCTTTCTCATTTATCGCTAATTTGTCGCTGAAAAATAGTAATTTTACTTATTTTGTCGCGAGTCCAGCCCGAGTCAATCAGCGAAAAAGCGACTGAAGAGACGGTAGAAATGACATCGAGAAACACTAATGATAGCTTTCTCATTTATCGCTAATTTGTCGTTGAAAGATGGTACTTTTACCCATTTTGTCGCGAGTCCATCCTCTAGCTGATCATCAAAAACTGACTGTAGAGACCCCAAGCTGGCACTACATATAGCGATCTCGAAATGGAAATGATGTCGAAAAACACTGTAATGATAGCCTTCTGATTTATCGCTAATTTGTCGCTTAAAGATGGTATTCTTCCCCATTTTGTCGCCAGTCTAGTCTCGAGTTGATCAGCGAAAAGAATTGGAGTCGAGAAATACTGAAGTAACTGCCTCCTCGTTTATCGCTAATTTGTCGCTGAAATAGTAGTTCTACTCATTTTGTCGCGAATCCAGCCTCCAGCCGACCAGCAAAAAGCGACTCCAAGCTGATACTACACGTAGCGATCTCGAAATAGAAATGACATCAAGAAACACTGTAACGGTAGCCTTCTCATTTATCGCTAATTTGTCGTTGAAAGATGGTACTTTTACCCATTTTGTCGCGAGTCCATCCTCTAGCTGATCATCAAAAACTGACTGTAGAGACCCCAAGCTGGCACTACATATAGCGATCTCGAAATGGAAATGATGTCGAAAAACACTGTAATGATAGCCTTCTGATTTATCGCTAATTTGTCGCTTAAAGATGGTATTCTTCCCCATTTTGTCGCCAGTCTAGTCTCGAGTTGATCAGCGAAAAGAATTGGAGTCGAGAAATACTGAAGTAACTGCCTCCTCGTTTATCGCTAATTTGTCGCTGAAATAGTAGTTCTACTCATTTTGTCGCGAATCCAGCCTCCAGCCGACCAGCAAAAAGCGACTCCAAGCTGATACTACACGTAGCGATCTCGAAATAGAAATGACATCAAGAAACACTGTAACGGTAGCCTTCTCATTTATCGCTAATTTGTCGTTGAAAGATGGTACTTTTACCCATTTTGTCGCGAGTCCATCCTCTAGCTGATCATCAAAAACTGACTGTAGAGACCCCAAGCTGGCACTACATATAGCGATCTCGAAATGGAAATGATGTCGAAAAACACTGTAATGATAGCCTTCTGATTTATCGCTAATTTGTCGCTTAAAGATGGTATTCTTCCCCATTTTGTCGCCAGTCTAGTCTCGAGTTGATCAGCGAAAAGAATTGGAGTCGAGAAATACTGAAGTAACTGCCTCCTCGTTTATCGCTAATTTGTCGCTGAAATAGTAGTTCTACTCATTTTGTCGCGAATCCAGCTTCCAACCGATCAGCAAAAAACGACTCCAAGCTGATACTACACATAGCGATCTCGAAATAGAAATGACATCAAGAAACACTGTAACGGTAGCCTTCTCATTTATCGCTAATTTGTCGTTGAAAGATGGTACTTTTACCCATTTTATCGCTAGTTTATCCACCAACTGTTCAACGAAAAACTACTGGAGAGCCACATTTTACATATAGTTTGCATGGGAATAGAAATGGCGTAAAAAAGTACTATAAGTGCAATAATTTATTACTGAAAAATATATTCATTTTGTCGCTAGTGCATTTTTCAGCGATTCAGCGAAAACGACTGAAGTCACGAAGGAGGTACTATACGTAAAGTATCTCGGAATAGAAAAGCGTAGAAAAATACAAACAAGGGCTATAATTTGTAGCTAGTTTATCTCCTAAAGACAGTACTTTTACCTATTTTGTCGCACGACACATTGCGTATTTTGACATAGAAATATCGTAGAAAAATACTGACAAATTAGCGATGAATTATGGTCCTTTTCTACGATATTTCTATCTTAGGATAAGCTTTATATATGTAGTGCTAGTTTGACAGTACTCCAATCGTTTTTCACTGATCGTCCCTCCAAAAGCAACTTTTTAATATATAGTTAGGTCGCTGCCCTGTACTTAAACAACAAATACTAAAATAAAAATAGTTTATAATATAGGTAATCTTTATCGATTATCAAATGGAAAAAAGTAGATTTGAACAGGTTTTATTTAGGAAGAATTTTTAAAAACGAATTGGACGATCCCACATTTACAAACCCGACATTGTACAAAATTATCCGTTCTAAAAGGTACTCCACATGCAATATCCGACTTATATATAGGATGGTCTTAAAGCGTACGGTTCTGTGAGATATCTTTTGAACTTTTTAGAACAGTACCCCAAAGGTATTCTGACGATCTGATAACTCAAAATTTGATAACCGAAGGACAAGTGCACTCAATTCGATCTCAACATGAATCCTGGCTGAACAGTAACCTGTCTCAAGTGGAATCATACAAACCACAGGTAGAATACCCTTTCCGGTTAGATAAAATAAGTAAATATGGATAATCTTATTCTTAAAAATAGTAATCACCACGTTGTTGTCAAAGTTGTCAGTTTCCGAAGACTAGAACATCCTTTATATAGGTCTTAATCTACCCTCTATTTTACTACTGTTTCTGATGTAGATATCAAACCAACATAACAAAGTTATATATTTTTTATTTCTAAAGATGGTACTATTGTCGCGAGTCCAGCCTCGATTTGATTATCGAAAAAAATCGGAGTCGAGAAATACTAAAATGACTGCTTTCTCATTTATCGCTAATTTGTCGCTGAAAAATAGTAATTTTACTTATTTTGTCGCGAGTCCAGCCCGAGTCAATCAGCGAAAAAGCGACTGAAGAGACGGTAGAAATGACATCGAGAAACACTAATGATAGCTTTCTCATTTATCGCTAATTTGTCGTTGAAAGATGGCACTTTTACCCATTTTATCGCTAGTCTATCCTTCAACTGTCCACGAAAACCGACTGGAGAGACAATAATAATAATAATAATAAGGGCTATAATTTGTAGCTAATTTGTCGCTTAAGGATTGTATTCTTCCCCATTTTGTCGCGAGTCTAGTCTCGAGTTGATCAGCGAAAAGAATTGGAGTCGAGAAATACTGAAATGACTGCCTTCGCGTTTATCGCTAATTTGTCGCTGAAATAGTACTTTTACTCATTTGGTCGCGAATCCAGCCGACCAGCAAAAAGCGACTCCAAGCTGATACTACACATAGCGATCTCGAAACAGAAATGATGTCGAGAAAAACCGTAATGATAACCTTCTCATTTATCGCTAATTTGTCGTTGAAAGATGGTACTTTTACCCATTTTATCGCTAGTCTATCCTTCAACTGTCCACGAAAACCGACTGGAGAGACAATAATAATAATAATAATAATAAGGGCTATAATTTGTAGCTAATTTGTCGCTTAAGGATTGTATTCTTCCCCATTTTGTCGCGAGTCTAGTCTCGAGTTGATCAGCGAAAAGAATTGGAGTCGAGAAATACTGAAATGACTGCCTTCGCGTTTATCGCTAATTTGTCGCTGAAATAGTACTTTTACTCATTTGGTCGCGAATCCAGCCGACCAGCAAAAAGCGACTCCAAGCTGATACTACACATAGCGATCTCGAAACAGAAATGATGTCGAGAAAAACCGTAATGATAACCTTCTCATTTATCGCTAATTTGTCNTATAATCCGTCCCATTTGGAAGCAGTCAACCCTGTCTCCATGGGAAAAACGCGAGCCAAACAATTGTCACACGGGGATGGGGATTACTCCGAGAACGAGACGTCCAGATGGAGCGACAAAATTTTAAATTTACAGGTATACAAACTATATGGCAATGTCTTCTAATTTTTGCAGTTTATTTTATTTCAATTTCCATATAAAAAAAATAGATCCATGGTGACGCAGCATTGGCTGGCCAGGGTGTGAATTACGAAATGCTCAACTTTACCGCTGTTCCTCATTTCGAAGTTGGTGGGTCGATACACTTCGTGGTGAATAATCAATTGGGATTCACTACCCCCGGTGACAGGGGTAGAAGTGCAGAATATTGCACAGATCTAGCGAAAATCGTTCTGGCACCTGTACTACACGTCAATGGAGACACCCCTGAGGTTAATTCCATTTAATTAATTCATTCATCCGTAAATTACTACAGCGCAATGACTACAGATGGCGTTCATAAGTTGATTATAGTAATTCATAGAACGCTATCGAAAGGAGACAGATGGAGTTGGCCCGTATTCTGTTGGAATTGTTTATGGTGTGCTGATGAGGTCCAAAGAGATCTAAATGGCGATCCACGCTGACAGTTTCAACGGAATACTAACCGCCATGAACTTTTTATTCCATTAATTCCATACAAATAAATATATTCATCAAATGATGATAATAATTTACTTAACAGGCAATTCTGAAAGCGACCCGAGTAGCGTTCAAGTATCAAAGGGAATTTAGAAAAGACGTTTTCATTGACCTAAACTGCTATCGTCAATGGGGTCACAACGAATTGGACGATCCCACATTTACAAACCCGACATTGTACAAAATTATCCGTTCTAAAAGGTACTCCACATGTAATATCCGACTTATATATAGGATGGTCTTAAAGCGTACGGTTCTGTGAGATATCTTTTGAACTTTTTAGAACAGTACCCCAAAGGTATTCTGACGATCTGATAACTCAAAATTTGATAACCGAAGGACAAGTGCACTCAATTCGATCTCAACATGAATCCTGGCTGAACAGTAACCTGTCTCAAGTGGAATCATACAAACCACAGGTAGAATACCCTTTCCGGTTAGATAAAATAAGTAAATATGGATAATCTTATTCTTAAAAATAGTAATCACCACGTTGTTGTCAAAGTTGTCAGTTTCCGAAGACTAGAACATCCTTTATATAGGTCTTAATCTACCCTCTATTTTACTACTGTTTCTGATGTAGATATCAAACCAACATAACAAAGTTATATATTTTTTATTTCTAAAGATGGTACTATTGTCGCGAGTCCAGCCTCGATTTGATTATCGAAAAAAATCGGAGTCGAAAAATACTAAAATGACTGCTTTCTCATTTATCGCTAATTTGTCGCTGAAAAATAGTAATTTTACTTATTTTGTCGCGAGTCCAGCCCGAGTCAATCAGCGAAAAAGCGACTGAAGAGACGGTAGAAATGACATCGAGAAACACTAATGATAGCTTTCTCATTTATCGCTAATTTGTCGTTGAAAGATGGCACTTTTACCCATTTTATCGCTAGTCTATCCTTCAACTGTCCACGAAAACCGACTGGAGAGACAATAATAATAATAATAATAAGGGCTATAATTTGTAGCTAATTTGTCGCTTAAGGATTGTATTCTTCCCCATTTTGTCGCGAGTCTAGTCTCGAGTTGATCAGCGAAAAGAATTGGAGTCGAGAAATACTGAAATGACTGCCTTCGCGTTTATCGCTAATTTGTCGCTGAAATAGTACTTTTACTCATTTGGTCGCGAATCCAGCCGACCAGCAAAAAGCGACTCCAAGCTGATACTACACATAGCGATCTCGAAACAGAAATGATGTCGAGAAAAACCGTAATGATAACCTTCTCATTTATCGCTAATTTGTCGTTGAAAGATGGTACTTTTACCCATTTTATCGCTAGTCTATCCTTCAACTGTCCACGAAAACCGACTGGAGAGACAATAATAATAATAATAATAATAAGGGCTATAATTTGTAGCTAATTTGTCGCTTAAGGATTGTATTCTTCCCCATTTTGTCGCGAGTCTAGTCTCGAGTTGATCAGCGAAAAGAATTGGAGTCGAGAAATACTGAAATGACTGCCTTCGCGTTTATCGCTAATTTGTCGCTGAAATAGTACTTTTACTCATTTGGTCGCGAATCCAGCCGACCAGCAAAAAGCGACTCCAAGCTGATACTACACATAGCGATCTCGAAACAGAAATGATGTCGAGAAAAACCGTAATGATAACCTTCTCATTTATCGCTAATTTGTCGTTGAAAGATGGTACTTTTACCCATTTTATCGCTAGTCTATCCTTCAACTGTCCACGAAAACCGACTGGAGAGACAATAATAATAATAATAATAATAAGGGCTATAATTTGTAGCTAATTTGTCGCTTAAGGATTGTATTCTTCCCCATTTTGTCGCGAGTCTAGTCTCGAGTTGATCAGCGAAAAGAATTGGAGTCGAGAAATACTGAAATGACTGCCTTCGCGTTTATCGCTAATTTGTCGCTGAAATAGTACTTTTACTCATTTGGTCGCGAATCCAGCCGACCAGCAAAAAGCGACTCCAAGCTGATACTACACATAGCGATCTCGAAACAGAAATGATGTCGAGAAAAACCGTAATGATAACCTTCTCATTTATCGCTAATTTGTCGTTGAAAGATGGTACTTTTACCCATTTTATCGCTAGTCTATCCTTCAACTGTCCACGAAAACCGACTGGAGAGACAATAATAATAATAATAATAATAAGGGCTATAATTTGTAGCTAATTTGTCGCTTAAGGATTGTATTCTTCCCCATTTTGTCGCGAGTCTAGTCTCGAGTTGATCAGCGAAAAGAATTGGAGTCGAGAAATACTGAAATGACTGCCTTCGCGTTTATCGCTAATTTGTCGCTGAAATAGTACTTTTACTCATTTGGTCGCGAATCCAGCCGACCAGCAAAAAGCGACTCCAAGCTGATACTACACATAGCGATCTCGAAACAGAAATGATGTCGAGAAAAACCGTAATGATAACCTTCTCATTTATCGCTAATTTGTCGTTGAAAGATGGTACTTTTACCCATTTTATCGCTAGTCTATCCTTCAACTGTCCACGAAAACCGACTGGAGAGACAATAATAATAATAATAATAATAAGGGCTATAATTTGTAGCTAATTTGTCGCTTAAGGATTGTATTCTTCCCCATTTTGTCGCGAGTCTAGTCTCGAGTTGATCAGCGAAAAGAATTGGAGTCGAGAAATACTGAAATGACTGCCTTCGCGTTTATCGCTAATTTGTCGCTGAAATAGTACTTTTACTCATTTGGTCGCGAATCCAGCCGACCAGCAAAAAGCGACTCCAAGCTGATACTACACATAGCGATCTCGAAACAGAAATGATGTCGAGAAAAACCGTAATGATAACCTTCTCATTTATCGCTAATTTGTCGTTGAAAGATGGTACTTTTACCCATTTTATCGCTAGTCTATCCTTCAACTGTCCACGAAAACCGACTGGAGAGACAATAATAATAATAATAATAATAAGGGCTATAATTTGTAGCTAATTTGTCGCTTAAGGATTGTATTCTTCCCCATTTTGTCGCGAGTCTAGTCTCGAGTTGATCAGCGAAAAGAATTGGAGTCGAGAAATACTGAAATGACTGCCTTCGCGTTTATCGCTAATTTGTCGCTGAAATAGTACTTTTACTCATTTGGTCGCGAATCCAGCCGACCAGCAAAAAGCGACTCCAAGCTGATACTACACATAGCGATCTCGAAACAGAAATGATGTCGAGAAAAACCGTAATGATAACCTTCTCATTTATCGCTAATTTGTCGTTGAAAGATGGTACTTTTACCCATTTTATCGCTAGTCTATCCTTCAACTGTCCACGAAAACCGACTGGAGAGACAATAATAATAATAATAATAATAAGGGCTATAATTTGTAGCTAATTTGTCGCTTAAGGATTGTATTCTTCCCCATTTTGTCGCGAGTCTAGTCTCGAGTTGATCAGCGAAAAGAATTGGAGTCGAGAAATACTGAAATGACTGCCTTCGCGTTTATCGCTAATTTGTCGCTGAAATAGTACTTTTACTCATTTGGTCGCGAATCCAGCCGACCAGCAAAAAGCGACTCCAAGCTGATACTACACATAGCGATCTCGAAACAGAAATGATGTCGAGAAAAACCGTAATGATAACCTTCTCATTTATCGCTAATTTGTCGTTGAAAGATGGTACTTTTACCCATTTTATCGCTAGTCTATCCTTCAACTGTCCACGAAAACCGACTGGAGAGACAATAATAATAATAATAATAATAAGGGCTATAATTTGTAGCTAATTTGTCGCTTAAGGATTGTATTCTTCCCCATTTTGTCGCGAGTCTAGTCTCGAGTTGATCAGCGAAAAGAATTGGAGTCGAGAAATACTGAAATGACTGCCTTCGCGTTTATCGCTAATTTGTCGCTGAAATAGTACTTTTACTCATTTGGTCGCGAATCCAGCCGACCAGCAAAAAGCGACTCCAAGCTGATACTACACATAGCGATCTCGAAACAGAAATGATGTCGAGAAAAACCGTAATGATAACCTTCTCATTTATCGCTAATTTGTCGTTGAAAGATGGTACTTTTACCCATTTTATCGCTAGTCTATCCTTCAACTGTCCACGAAAACCGACTGGAGAGACAATAATAATAATAATAATAATAAGGGCTATAATTTGTAGCTAATTTGTCGCTTAAGGATTGTATTCTTCCCCATTTTGTCGCGAGTCTAGTCTCGAGTTGATCAGCGAAAAGAATTGGAGTCGAGAAATACTGAAATGACTGCCTTCGCGTTTATCGCTAATTTGTCGCTGAAATAGTACTTTTACTCATTTGGTCGCGAATCCAGCCGACCAGCAAAAAGCGACTCCAAGCTGATACTACACATAGCGATCTCGAAACAGAAATGATGTCGAGAAAAACCGTAATGATAACCTTCTCATTTATCGCTAATTTGTCGTTGAAAGATGGTACTTTTACCCATTTTATCGCTAGTCTATCCTTCAACTGTCCACGAAAACCGACTGGAGAGACAATAATAATAATAATAATAATAAGGGCTATAATTTGTAGCTAATTTGTCGCTTAAGGATTGTATTCTTCCCCATTTTGTCGCGAGTCTAGTCTCGAGTTGATCAGCGAAAAGAATTGGAGTCGAGAAATACTGAAATGACTGCCTTCGCGTTTATCGCTAATTTGTCGCTGAAATAGTACTTTTACTCATTTGGTCGCGAATCCAGCCGACCAGCAAAAAGCGACTCCAAGCTGATACTACACATAGCGATCTCGAAACAGAAATGATGTCGAGAAAAACCGTAATGATAACCTTCTCATTTATCGCTAATTTGTCGTTGAAAGATGGTACTTTTACCCATTTTATCGCTAGTCTATCCTTCAACTGTCCACGAANATTGAATCGTTTTAGATCGCGAATAGCATTTTATCTGAAGAAGCTGTGCTAGCATTTGAGTATGGAATGAGCGTCGAAAATCCAAATAATCTCATAATGTGGGAGGCTCAGTTTGGCGACTTCTTTAACGGTGCTCAGTCTATTTTCGACACATTCGTGGCCAGTGGAGAAGGTAAAAAAAGGATCACATAAAAATGTAAATTCCCTCTTGCCAAATTATAGTTAAACGTTTTTCTTACGTCAGCGAAATGGTTATGGAGTTCCGGCCTCGTAATCCTACTTCCTCACGGTTATGATGGTACGGGGCCCGACCACAGTTCCTGCAGATTGGAACGATTCCTTCAACAAACTTCTTCAAAAGAAGACAAAGTTGATGGTGACAACGTTAATGTAGAAGTATGTCAACCATCTACTTCTGCTCAGTATTTTCACCTTTTAAGAAGACAGGTACATAACTAACGAGAATTGTCCGAACTTAAGTATAAAAGATTCAAGATCATCATAAGGCCATCAGTCCTAAGACTGGTTCTTCGCATTTCCCTAAAACCAGAACATCCCACATCCTTAACTATTTGCGAACAGTAATCGAATCTAGGTCTACCTCTACTCCTCTTAACTACTGTTTTTGCCTCTAATATGTTTCTGACTAGACCCTCATGCCTGAGAAGGTGTCCTACCAACCTATCTCGCCTATTTTTTTATTGACTTCCATAAAGCCCTCTGTTCTCCCATTCTTTCCAATACCTCTTCATTTCTAACCTTCTCTACCCACGGTATCCTCACTATTCGCTCCACTCCACATTTCGAACACTTCTAACCTTTTCTGCCGCTGCGCCTACCGTCCATGTTTCGCACCCGTACAGCGCCAAGCTCCAATAATACACTTTTAACAATCTTTTTCGAATTTCTAAATTAATCGTTCGCGAGCATAGAAGTGAGTTCTTTTTATTGAAGGCGACTCTACCCTGCGCTATCCTTTGCTTTATATCCCTACTATTCCTTTCGTCCTGACTTATCTGACTTCCTAGATACCTAATATCAGCTACTTTTTCTAATCTTTCGTCTCCTATTTTTATATTCGCTCTTTCCCTACTTTTTCTTATATTTGTTTTACTTTTATTTATTTTCATACAATACTAGTTTGTCAATAACGCTTCCATTTTATTTAAAACTATCTCTAACTCCTCCTTGCTAGATGCTAATTCTACTATACAATCTGTAAATTTAACCATATTAACCTTTTATCCTTCTATATCTATCCCTAATACAATTGTACTGTCTTTAATGATGTTGATGGCATATAAAAGATTACAGGAGAAATAACTTCCGTAATCAATTAATGTTTTAGATGGTTCGCAATTACAGAAAACCACTAGTGGTTGTCATGCCTAAATCACTGCTTAGGAATACCGACTCTGCTAGCAACTATACCGATATTATCAAGGGGACTTCGTTTGAACCTGTTATAGGTAAGGCATTAATTAAAAATTTGCACAGTGTCCCAAGAAATAACGTCAGGCGAAAGCAGGAAGAACATCTGGGACTATTGTCAATATAATTTTAGTTAGGAATCCTAAATCACACTCTGAAAGAATTTAAATGAATGAAAAGATATGAAAATAACCACATCCAGTGATGAACAAAATTAGTCTTGGTATTGTTCTTGTATTTTCGCAAAACCAAGACCATAGCCAAGACTGTCACTATACGAGGGTGGATTGATAAGTTTCCGGCCTAACCAAGAGATGACGCCACTAGGCCTACCTTGAGGTGACATTCTATAGTACCATCCTTGGATAGCTTGTAGCTATAGTTTCAGCCCGATCTCCTTGCTANGAGTATATAAGTTATTACTTTCTGTATACATTTATTATTTTATTGTACTGTTGTAGTACTTTATCAAAGGACCTTCTAAAACAAATTGCCAGTGAAAAAGAAAACGAATTACAGTTAATGATTATATACAAAACAGCCCAAGAGAAATGTCTTCAATTAAGCAATCATCTGGATGAAATTCATGAGAAAATTCATATGCAAATCTACAAATACTCTGATATCATAAACAATTTTAAAAATGTAACGTTTACTACAAACCAAATTACAATATTTATAAATAGAATTCTTTTAGGTCCAAGCATTTATTTCAAATATCCCATGGACAAACTACAATCAATGCAGTCATGAAGTTTCTTCTAGTCTGAACTGTTATATTAATAAAGAATATGATTCAAATAAGTGCATTGGCACTACTAGAAAAAGTGTAAAAAGAATAGGAGAGAACTACTCATTTTTAACAAAGTCCTCCTTAGAGGAATTGGATGATTTGCATTTATGGTAATGTAAAAGTTGATGGTATATTATTTTTATAAAGAATTTAAATGTTTGCAGTATTTCAAAAGTAATAAAAAACTTAATAACAAATTCAATAGAGGAATCAAAACTCAGAGCAGAATTGAAATATCTGAAAACCCTAAATTTATATGAAGCAATTAGCTACTTTTGTGATTCTGAAAGGTGAGAATATTATTAAAAAATTACTACACAATATTTATATTGAGAGATGTAGCACCATACAAATAACCCTTAGATCAGCTGATAAATTATATCATAATAATCCTACTTTAAATGACTCTTACAGGTAGCATATAATAAATTATTGTTTCAGATGTAAAACATGATTATACAGTTCCTCTCTTGAACCAATCTTTTCATTTCCAGAAAACTAGAACATCCCTAAACTATTTATGAACAGTAATCTAATGTAGATATTCCTCTTCCTGCTTTTACTCCTGCTTCTGCTTCTAATATATGTATACAAGCGATTAAATATCGTAGAAGATTTAATACATATAATTTCACTATCAATTGTAATATATTAAACAATCAAACTCAGTACTATAAGGGGGGACACCCTGTATATAACAAATCTAAAATTCACAATAAGATAAAATTAGATCTAAAATTTAATGAAACCGTATACTTTCAGGAGACCCCCTAGCAAATCCTTTGAATGTCGAGAAAGTAATTTTCACTTCTGGTAAACACTACTATACTTTACTTAACGAACAAAAAGCTCTCCAAATAAAAAATACGGCCATTATTCGCGTGGAAAGTTTTTGCCCTTTCCCCACAATGAAACTTCAAAAGGAAATTGACAAATACACAAACGCAAGAAGTAAGTACATCTACTCAGTAAAATCGGTAAATACCTACAAAACTGGAAGTAAAAAATAAATATTTTTTTAGTATTTCTTTGGTGTCAAGAAGAGCCACAAAACATGGGTGCTTGGAGTTTCATAAAGCCCAGGTTTGAAAATCTACTTGGCAAAAGGGTAAGTAAAAGCCTAACTGGGCCCAACCAAGCTTAACTTTTATGCATTTCATTTTTTTCAATTTGCATAATTTTGTACCATATACGTATATTTTATAGTTACGTTATGTTGGCCGAGAGACATCTGCATCTCCTGCAGTTGGTGTTGCCAAATGGCACCAAGAAGAAGTGGATTACATTACAAAGGAACCATTCCGAATAACATTAACTACGCTAACAACAGGAAAATAAATTCTAATAACTTCAATAAGTATGTCTAATGCTAACCAATGAATTTAGACAGCGAGACTACTCATTCTGGCGTTTCGAATTTTAAAAGTAGCAAAATGAAATTTCTTACTACCTACGTGTAATTGTTATCTACCATCATAAATAAACGCCTCCATCATTAATCAATTTCAAAGATTTTTAAAATGATTTATCAAATTCATTTTTAATAAAGTACATGTCGCTTACAATAATTACATACTGCTGAGAAGAATCAGTGGACATCTTATAAAATCAAAAGTTTTGTCTATGTAGATGTATACAAAATATGAGTACTGTGGAACGTAACTATGTAAATAAATACTCAAAACCCAAAACGCGCTTCGATACCCAAGGTGTCATCCTCAGTTTTCGAGAAGACTATAAAGAAGTCACATTGTAAATGTAGATACATATGCGGTATGTAGAGGTTTTCGATCAAACCTTCGAACCGGTCACTCAATTTAAATGTCAAAATAGACAAGTGTAGAAGTCAATTTTATTACTTTAAAGTAAAAAAACAATATGATACTAGGATTATCTCACCGCCATTTTCTTAATTTTATAAATGTAAGCATACTTATGTATATTAATATCACAGTACCTTTTGTTGTTTAGGCGGCCTTCTTGCATTCATACTTAGTCTTTGAGACGCCACACGCACTGAACGCGTTTTTCTGTTAATAATAGGAACAAAGCCATATATTACTCACAAAAAACTCTAATTAATGTTCTCCACAAGACGACAACGCTCACTGAATAGCCGAATCAAATCCCAACTACACCACCTTAACGCAATACACTCCTGCACTGAACAATCATATTGTTTTAAGTTTAAAAACTACTTTTCGTAAGGAACCCTCTTGCGTGAAAATATTGTACTAAATGATATCCGCATGCGCACAATTTCAGAGAATTGTATTCTTGTAAATTCGATGTAACTTCAAAATATTGAGAAAAAGCAATGTGTATAGGTTAGAAATAGTTTTAAAGAAGAACAACAAAAAGAAGAAGCCGTTTTAAAAATATTTTCGTTAAAATTATTAATTTATAAACAGTATAGTGAATTATATAAATAAAATAATAAGTGTAGTGAATTGTATAAGTAAAATAATAGAAAGATGGAAACATTATCTGGATACAATATTTTACATACGTTTCAAGAACTTGGTATAGATACTGGAAATATAACAAAAAATGTTTTTGAAGCTTGGTTTGATACCGATGATATTGGAACAATATCGTTCTTAAATTGGTTTTGCAGTTTAAATAAAGAAAATGTATTAAAATCATCAGAATATGAAGAGTGAGTATAAATATGTTATCTGTTTTTAAAAAGTATAATGTAATTTGTCATAGGTTTTTGCATTTGAAACATAATCATTTAATAATAGAAGGGGAAGAATATGAGCAAGCAATTAAGGATATTCAAATGGAATATGATGAAATTTGGAATTGTGATAGTAATTGTTTTGAAATTGAATGTCTTAATGATGAATTAGATGCCTTGCATGAAGAACAGCAAGCTCAAGAGAATGTGTGCAAACTGCAAGAGTATATAAGTTATTACTTTCTGTATACATTTATTATTTTATTGTACTGTTGTAGTACTTTATCAAAGGACCTTCTAAAACAAATTGCCAGTGAAAAAGAAAACGAATTACAGTTAATGATTATATACAAAACAGCCCAAGAGAAATGTCTTCAATTAAGCAATCATCTGGATGAAATTCATGAGAAAATTCATATGCAAATCTACAAATACTCTGATATCATAAACAATTTTAAAAATGTAACGTTTACTACAAACCAAATTACAATATTTATAAATAGAATTCTTTTAGGTCCAAGCATTTATTTCAAATATCCCATGGACAAACTACAATCAATGCAGTCATGAAGTTTCTTCTAGTCTGAACTGTTATATTAATAAAGAATATGATTCAAATAAGTGCATTGGCACTACTAGAAAAAGTGTAAAAAGAATAGGAGAGAACTACTCATTTTTAACAAAGTCCTCCTTAGAGGAATTGGATGATTTGCATTTATGGTAATGTAAAAGTTGATGGTATATTATTTTTATAAAGAATTTAAATGTTTGCAGTATTTCAAAAGTAATAAAAAACTTAATAACAAATTCAATAGAGGAATCAAAACTCAGAGCAGAATTGAAATATCTGAAAACCCTAAATTTATATGAAGCAATTAGCTACTTTTGTGATTCTGAAAGGTGAGAATATTATTAAAAAATTACTACACAATATTTATTTTGGATTTATAGTATACAGTTTATGTTAGAAGACAATATTGCAACAAAAGAGGAGAGACTTGCTCAAATTCTAAGTCAGATAGAGCAAGCATCAAATGAAGTGGCAAGCAAATTAACAAATGAAGCTAAAATAAATCGCTTCAAGAAACAACTGGAGCGTAATGAGTAAGTGGTGTATAAATGTTCCTGATTTTTTCAGTGATTAGGTCACTGTCTGAAATTTGATAATTTTTCTAAGCTTAAGTTAGATAACTTAAACCAAAAGTATGAAATTCGACTTAGTTTTCTTGTATAAATTCTTTTTTTTTTTTTTTCGAAAATCTAGAAAAAAACTGAACTACGCCAAAACTAAAATAAATGATAAGTTTCTGGATATCTTAACAAACCAAGAGCTTTGTTTGTTGCTTCTTAAGAAAGAAAAGCATTTTATGGAGACCACTGGACAATTCTTTAGAGACATATCCCAGTATGTTATTAATAATATGCAAAGTTGCCAAAAAAGAATTGTAGGTACCATTTTTACACATAAAAATAATTAATTACTAATTTTATATAATACGATTATCTTTTAGGAAATTATGATCGATGTTATTCTACAATCGAACGATTTCCGCCAGTTGCCCGTTGAACATAAATGCACGCTTATTAGTAGCATTGCCTCTATTTTGTTAAATGGTAAAAATGACAAAAATAATCCAATAAAGGTGATCGCCGATTTTAAAAAAAATACATCACTTTTGCACTACAACCTATTCAAAAATGATAATGTTAATCACTTGAAATCGTTTGAGTATATGTAAGCAATATCCAATGTGTGTGTGTGTGTAATACTAATAATTAGGTTTACTAAAAATCTTAATTGAACTTTCAGATACAAAGAAATTAGCTTATTAAAATCGTTTTTAATGAGCTCTCCGACCACTTGTATTGTCGTTATTCCACCGGAATTATTTAGTGCATTGCGGGAAGTAAAGCTAAACTTGGAAAATCAGAAGAAAGCTGTTGCTAAAGGATTAGAAATTTATAATCACAATACCGTACGTTACAAAACCTTTCATCTCCTCATTGTAATTACTTTTCATTTTTCTGTTCTTAGAATATTCTAAACAAAAATAAGTGGCTTCGGTTAAAAAGACAGTTATGGCTATATTTTTTATCTGAGCCAAGGAAGGTATTGTCAGTCATTGAAGAACTAAAGAAGGAAATAGAATCTGGTTCAGCTATTTAATTCCCTATGCATTATTAAATTTAATTTATTGTAAGTTTGCCAGTTTTATTATTAAATAATTTTTATAAATTTTGAATTGCAAAGTTTTTTTAAACAACAGCAAAAATCGCATTAATTTCATTCCACATGCAAATTTAATAGGAGGGGCAAAACGTTAAATATTACCCATGTATTTGTATATAATGTACATAGTACAATACAATGTGTGCTTATTTTATTCTAAATAACTTGCCAAATCCAGGCAAATTTACATAATACAACTTATTTTTAGCTTATGTTTATGATCTGTATAATAGAAAAGGACATATGTTACATCCATAATAATCATATACACAATTCAGTCATAGCATTACTTCATCTGTAATTAGGTTTCACCAAAAATATCTTTAAATTTGTCGATGCTGTTGTGAAAAAACTTCAAATTTACAAGTGACCTTTTTAACTACACATTTATACATCACAATAATGATTTAAAATCCTTAATAGTAAAGGCAAGTTTGAGTGAAAGACTAGAGTAGATAAGAGTATGAAAGTCGTCCCCATATCAGTAAGTCGAATTTTCTAAAAAAAAATTTTAAAACAATTTCAGAATCTAATTAATTCGTTCGCTCAATAAGAAATAAATAGATAATGTGAAAATAAAAACAAAAATGGTAAAAACGACCAAATCTAACGACCACAATAATTTTGTTTAACTATTGCAGTTACCTTAATATATAAGGAACAATAAAAAATAAATAAAAAAAACTTTCATCAGACTCACTGTTATGGCGACATTTTCATACTCCTATCGACCACAGTCTTTTAAAATTGCGTGCATAATATTAGTACCAATATATATATAAAGGTTTTTAAAATTGACCTTTTTTACGATAAATGCCCATTATTAATTAAAGAAATAAAACAAAAGGCTTATTGACAAACTTTCAGCATGTCCTTTACAGAGTGAATCGTTTAAAATTGAACTGTTAATTAGATATTATTAAATGCTGTAACATATGGACCAAATCTAATTTTTTTACAGTTGTTATTACATCCTGCAAACTACACATTACAGTTGGAATTTTTTTACGATCAGACAAATTTACGCATCCCGAGAAAACCATTAATGAACAAGAATCATGTACGATAATTTAACAAATAAAAAATCCTTAGCATTGCACTTGACAAAACGCTCAGATCTGTAGGCAAATTATTCAACTAAAAAAAATATTTTTCGAAAAACTGAAATTACAACATCCATCACAAGTCTTTTTTTTTGCAGTATTAAATATTTTATATAAAAGTCACCATTTGGTCAAGTGTTCTTGCATTATTTTAATTATAAAAATCGGGACTGCCTGTAAAGTACATCATAAAAACTATTGCTAAATAAATTCATTAAAAAGAAATGTAAACTATCAAGATGTCTATTGATGTTTTATGATATGGCACCATATGATTTGCACATTTGCCTACTACACTTATCAGTTGCTTATCCGCAAAACGTTCCTTTCACAATTAATACAATCACTCCACAAGTATCAAAAACCTATTCAAAAATACGACACTTAACCAAACTTGAAGGTATTTTACAATTTACACAATTGTTGTAGCAGAAAATAATAATAAAAAAATACTGAATAAATAGGCTACAGATTTACTTTTTGTCCATACACAGTGCTATTTTATATCACACCTCTTTTTAACTTAAAAATATTTACATTTTCAAATATTATTTAAAGCTATATATTAGGTAAATTATTATTACGTAACATATTCAAGAATGCCAATTCCATTTCGTTTATTAGGTATAAATACACGTAAGTATATCTATCTATATTTAAAACAAATTTGGATTGTTTCCTTCCGTTCGAAAACAAAACTTTCAACAATAAGAGCTACAATTGCATTATACATATACATATATATATATATATAAGTTTTAACAAAATTCCTCTTGAAATAACAACAAAAGTAAAACTGTGATTTATAAAGAAAGTGAACTGGCATTCTCGTTAACTTAAACACAGAATAAAATAAATAAACCACAGTTTTTAATTTAGATTTATTCTCGAAACGAACAAAATTATACTACTAGGTCTAACCGTCCTATCAACAATAAGTAAAAAACTCTTTAAGTCTACCTTATAACTCTAGTTTACAATTTTTCAACAATGCTGATTTAACTATGTATGTATTTCGAAATATTCACTAATTTCTAATTAGATCTTGGTGCATAATGAATTTATTAATTTGCTCTGATCTTTTTTGATTGTATGTGCACACATCAAATGGACCGGTCGCGAAGTCTTTTAAGCAACATTTCGGACAAAAAAATCATACAGACGGTACCAAATAAATATCAAAATGATATAATAGAAATATCGAGTACGGCTGCTTACTGTTACCCAAAGACTTCAAGCAAATATGTATGAAAAACAAAAAAACTCGCAAAAACATTAAACATAAATCTGATAACAAGATGAAAAACTACAAGAATTTACAAAATGCACTTCTTATTTTCTTTATTACCATGATCGAAGTGTTTTTCGAATCGAAACCAAATACTCATTCGCATTCAAAATAACCTCTCAACATCCGCAATTCGAAATAAAACAGAAATTGGCAAAACTCAACAAACGTACCTTTTTTCACTATCTTTATCCTTTCCTCTCCATTTCGCCGCTGCAAACAGGACATCCGCCGGAAACAGATGAGCGAACATATCTCGGTAGGAGGGGGGGAGACGATAATCATGCGTATTCGTTCGTTATACCGCGTCTCCATATCGCGTGAAAGGAGGAGAGTATCACCAAATGTTTATATTGATGAAAACTCGAATAAAGAAAATATACAAAATTGTAACAAAAGTTATAAACCGAAAAAAATCTCTTAATACGACACCGAGTTTGTGTTCATTTTTTTATCTTTTGTTTTACGGTAGAAGCGGACGCGTACCCCTTAATTGACCATAAGGGTGTGAGATTCCATGGGGGCGGCCGAATCATAAAGGGTATCTGTGTCCTGCGTAGGTTCTCCTTGAAGCTGACACTGGTTAGTCAGTGTGCCCGCACCGCAATCACAGAAAAACCTAAAAATTAAAATTATAATTTTAAAAGGTGTACTGCAAACAAAATATTTTACTCTTAAAACGTTTTTTCTTAATATTAACTTATTTACTAAAATTTTTTTGGATGTTTATAAAAGTTTCAGATATCATAATAACAACAAATACAGTATTATAGAAATACCACTGACCTGTCATGTCTGATGAACTCGACATCATGACCTGCATGGCAAGTCTTAATACAATTGACACAGATGGCATTACGGTCAGTAGTATTGCAGGTCTGACACCTGTAGAAGTCGTGCATGGGGAAAGATGTGTAACTCGATATCTTGTAGAGACACTGGCCATTCGCAACCGCCTTCTCGACCGCATCCTGATTATTGAATATTTTGTTGCCACGCACAATAGGTTGGACGCCGCTGGCCAAACAAAGACCTCCGAACCGATTGTTAAAAATCTGGTTAAATTCGAGTGTTGCCGTTGCATTATTAGTAATCTCAACGCCAGCGGCCAGTCCGTCAAAAATACGGTTACGACGTAAGATAGGATGACTCTGGGTGGAGATCAGGACGCCAGCTTGAGCGTTCCTGAATATATCATTCTCCTCTAGCACACCTTTGCCCCCATTGAAGATACAGATCCCACCGTCGCGCCCATCGAATATCTTGTTCCGTTTAAGCGTCGGATTTGAGTCGGTCTTTATCCAAACTCCGGCCATTGCATTGTCAAAAATCTCGTTTTGTTCCAGAAGCCCTAGGCCGCCATTGTAGACCAAAACACCTCCGTTTTGGCCTCCCCAGATTTTATTGCCACGTATGATAGGGTTACTGCCCGTACGAATTTGTACACCCGAATACAAGTGGTTAAAAATATCGTTGTCTTCTAGCTTGCCGTGACCGTTGTCGTAGAAATACACACCCACCTGCAATGTTTAAAGAAAAAATCTAGTATTTTTATCAGTGCTTATAGTTGGAGTAAGAATTAATTTAAAACATACGACCCAAAAGGGGCAGTTTTTGTACGCAACATATATCCATGTATAATATTAACATGGAGATTGGACAGTGCACGCTCCACATAAAAGTGTAAAAATGAGGCAAATAAACTGTCACTTTTTATCTCATCCTATGAAGTTCAAGCCAGAAAGATAATTTTATACACTCAAGTCATTTTTAGTACACTGCTATCCAGGTTAATAGGGTAAAACTACTAATTACCTGTTTGCCTGAATGGATTCGATTGCGTCGTAGAACAGGTGTACTCCCGGTGGTTATCCAGACGCCTGCAAGCGTGTTAGCAAACACTTCGTTCTCTTCGATTAAACCCTGACCCTTTTCATGTACGTAAATGCCACCATGTTGGCCGTGATGGATCCGATTATGCCGTACAATCGGGTCGCTGTTCGTTCGAATTTGAATGCCGGCCAGTGCATTACCATAAATGTTATTGTGCTCGATAAGACCGCGGCCCTCGCCGAATATGTACACGCCGCCCTGGTGGCCGTTATAAATCTCATTTTTACGTATCGTTGGATTGCTGTTCGACGTAATCCACACACCCGCAAAGTTATTAGAGTGTATCTTGTTGTCGATGAATTGACCGAGACCGTTCTCGTGAACGTAGATTCCACCCGTTTGACCGTGATGGATCTCGCAGTGAACGACAGTCGGATTTGCCCCTGCCTTCACCTCGAACCCCGCAATTCTGTTGTTGTGAATATCGTTTGCTTCAAAATAACCCTGGAGTAACACAAGATAATTAGGAACATACATTGACTTTAGCAGCGCACACAAAAATTGTTTTTTTTTTCTGATACAAATCGGTACTAATTTAATCTAGTATTACATATAAAAGATATTATGAGTGCTGTCAGCACAGTGGAAAGTAGTATTACGTAGTTAGTAACGGCAATTTCTTATGCGAAGTGTACGATGTGTTGCATACCTATTTATAAACAATTTCTTTAAATTTAATTTAAACAGGGCTTACCCCCTCTGTACATATTTACTCTGTAAATATATTATCTGGATAATAAATACAAATACAAAAATACAATTTTTTCAAACAATTTTCAACACAAAGTGACAAATTGTTCACAAAAGTGAATTTCGACCACTCGAAGACATAGTGCTAACACTTTCGAGCTCACAGTATCTGATAGAGGGGGGAAGCACTTATATTAAAAAAAAAATCTTTTAGAAAAGAAACTGATAATCAGAGAACATGCAAATTTTTACCTCAAATATTATTTATACTAAAGTTATTGCTTAGATTGTACATGTACTCATTCGTATATTAATCTTTGATGTTCTTAATTCTTTTTATCTTATATTAAATTTAACAGTTAAGATGCATAATTTGATAATTAATATTTGCAGTGTAATATTTGGCACTTTTAAAATCCGGTTTTATCATTACATTATTATTTTATGCTAATGACATATGTTATTTCCCTATGTTAGTTACGTATAAACGATGAAAGGATTTGACTAAAAATTATTTATTTACAATGCTATTCGCTTTGTGATTGATAAAACATCACAAAATATTACGTGAAAACGAAATAAAATAATATTAAAAGAAAATAACTTACCAAACCGTTGTCAAAAGTAAAAATGCCAACATCTCGACCATGATGGATATGATTCCTCCTCATAATTGGATTAGCATAATTTTTGACCCAAATTCCTGCCAGAGCGTTCCTGCTAATTTCGTTATCCTCGTATGTCCCTTGAGCATAATCAGTCACATACAGGCCCACATTTTCACAGTCACTTATATCGCAATGGCGTATCACAGGATTTGCACCCACTCCACTAACACAAACTGCTGCTCCAACTAAGGAAATGAAAAAAGAAATTTTAAAAAGGTAACAATAAAAAGGCAGACAAATTCTTTATTACCTGAATGAAACTACGGCCAAAACAAAATGAACTATTAAAAGGGCAATTTTAAAGGTGATATAAAAATAACCTTTTGTGACTTTTAAGTGAACAACTTGAAGGTATTATAATTTTCTACTTCTTTCAACTTTTACATGCGAAAATGTACAAGGAAAAACATAACAAAAACTTAAATAAACAGTTTTGCTTACCAACTGAAGTACTTCTAATGATGCAATGATCAATGGTTGGGCTGCAGTTCTCACCGACTTCTAAACAGTAATGTTTATGATGGGGGACGGTTGACGTGACATCTGGAGAAAATTTGAGTGTCAAGTGGCCTGCATAAGCCTGTTTGGCACCCTCCACGAACATCACCGTTGATTCGGACTCACGTTCGAGTATCACAGACTCCGCCACGTTGCCTGGAGCAGCACCTAGCAGTTCCAATTGGGTGTTATTAATTCCAAAAGAATTGAATAAAATAATGGTTTTAATCATAACATTCCAGCTTTTTAATGCACCTGAACAAAAAGAAAAAAGAGGACGCACCTATGAGAGCTATATCCGAGTCAATGACGAGAAATTCTCCACGATAAGTGCCTGCGTGCAAGAATATCAAAGGTCCTTGACTGTTGCTTTCTGTATTTGATTGAGAATTGCTGGAAGCTGTTACTAAGGTTGCAGTACCAGTGCCATTACGTTCATCAGCGTAGTCCAAGGCGCCCTTTAACAATTAGGACCATCACAATAAGTTCTTTTACAGTGCAAAATTTAGTCTATTGTGCGTAAACAGTAAAATCCTTCTAACGCCACCTACCTGAACAGTATTGAAGTACACAAGGTTTCGACCCTTAAACTGCAACTCCTGGTAACCAGGACGTACATGTATGCCTCTATACAACTGCCGGAAGGACTCCTTCCAGGGATTTGCTAATTCTGACTCCTCCGGACTTACGAATTCAAAGCGACAAGGCGCGGGATTGAAAAGAGGTAAATCATACTCGTATACGCTTTGGTAAAGACGTTTCCTAATAATAAACAAATGAAAAAATTAACAATTTTTCAAAAATATGTACGTTTAAAATACGTTTTAAATAGGCATAAATTTTTATTAGTGCTCGCCGGAGGATTTAGGCGATTTCGTCATACATATTTGTACTTACCATAATTCCGTATCATTGGCGATGGTCTGGAAGCGTTTGCAGACCTGGCTGACGCGACATAAGTCTTGTTCTAACAAGTAATTAAATATCGTGAGCAAAACCTCGTCAGGAAGCTCGTATTGAAGATAATGAGCGGCTGTATTAGTGCAACCTATAAAGATATAATTTGTGTAAATAAAATATTTCATTAGGTTATTTTCTTAAAATTATTTTATTAAAATTTATAAGTTAGTAAAATAAATATCTATTTACACAATGCTCAGTGACGTCGTATATTGTTATTATCTTAAAAAACATCTTTTGATTACCCTGCATGCATCATACATTTGTTTTTATGTTACTACTTCCTTTTAAATGTATTATTCATCTATATGCTAAGGAATATTCAAAACTTCGAATAATTGTCAATTAATTATAGAAAAGTCAATGGAAAGTTATACAGAGTTCAATTTAGCTTTCTCTTGAATTCCAGACAAAAACAAATTTAGTAGTAAAGTAAGTTATAAAATATTTAAAGGCTATTATCAAGCAGGGCTTTTGTTACTATTTGTTTCAACTTTTTTGTTAAGCACTGTACTCGCGATTGATTACATAAAATAAAATGATTTGCTTTAACTTGAAAGATAACAAAAAAAAATAAATTTCAAAACATTCTCCACCTCCTAACCTTGACACTGATCATATCCACAAACGAATACCGTAATAAAACGCTCTTTTAATGCACTTGAATAAATGCATAATACCTATCTTAATTCTACATTAGCATCGTGATAAACTAAAACAAAAATACGCCGGATCTCATTTGCAATTCATCCTTTCAGTTTATGGAATAAAAACGACTATTAGAGGAAGATGGTCGGCACATCAAACTTAGGAAGCATGACTAATTTTCAGACTCGGACGACTTCACAATTCGAAAATTAATTAGACAGATCTGCCCTTGAACGCAAGGTCGTACAATACCAACTGTCTACAACTTTTTGCCTTCCGTTGTATAATAAGGAAATTAGAAAATTCGCATTACACATATACATAAGATTTACGTACGCAAGAATCCAAAAAAAACTATACAACCGCTCAAATAATCGTAAAGAAATTATTATCTGGTCGATCGTTAAAGAAACAAGATTACATGAGAATGCCTCTACAAATAAAAAATTAATAAACATTAGTTAAACACAAAAAATAAACTTTTAGAAAATCAAGAATAACATTAAAATATTTTAATTAACATTTCAGTCAAACAGTTTTTTTCAAGAACTCTTTAATACATGCTTAGAAGACAAATATAAACAACACATTTATTATGTAGCTTTCTAAAGAAGAATTTATTCCTGTTAGGTATTTTTTCAACATATAACCGAATTATGAATTTTAAAATTTAAACTGTTTTTGCAAATTAAAACCAAAATAAAAATTCCAAAACTTTCCCCCTTCATTGTACCTTCACTAAAGTACATAAATAATTATGGTAGGTGGTATCTCGAATAATATATCAATACTTTAAAATTTATAGTAATAAAATTAGATTTTACTACTGTTATAAAAAGACACCTACTTTCATATGAAACTGAACAGGTTCGGCGAGGACGTTTACGAGCAGGTAACATAGCAGAATTGTAACCCTGGGCAGAAATTGTTGGGGCGGCAGGTGACGTGGGTGAACCTGCAGTGGCGGCACTGGTGCTGGGCCCCCCTTCGTGGTGAGAAGGAGATTTCCTTCTCAAGTCGTAGGGCGAATGGTGCGCGGGTACAGCGCCCCCGCTGGTACCCGGGCCTGCCGCGGATGTGCTCCCGGAACTAGGGGCAGCTGCTGATGGAGCTGGAATGTTTTGGTTCGGGATGGGACAAGATGGCTCACATGGTTCTGCTGATAACAAAGCAGTTCTTTAGAAATATGATTACATATTTGTTTACACAGACAATCTGCTAAGATAAACATAAATATTCCACAAGTAATTGTTTCTTAATGTCAACATTACCTCTTCTTGACATTAGCTCTAAATGTTTACAGATATCTAATAACACTCAGGAACTCATTCCAGTAACATGAATATTATACTACCTTAAATTCCCTCCAGTAATTAATGTATGTACTTAAACCTACCAGTTTCACACAACTTTACTGTGACAACTCTTGTAATGTACCAAAAAACTGTATTTTATTTGCCTTAATTATTTTTAATTGAAATTAAGCAAGTTCCTATAACAAAATAAATATAATTACCTCTTACTGAATAGTTATTTATATTTATTTTGTGTTTATGTGTATATCAAGCAGTGTGTAATGATGAATGAAAATAATACTCTTATTCATTTTTTACAACGGATAAATCTTTCATTTTTTAATTAAATTATAAATAATGTGTTCCTATCTGAGTTATGGACGTGATAGATTGTCAATACTCGTTTTCCCACGACTATTATAAATGCAAAGTACAAGCCAATAAAATTCAACAAACTGATGAATTTAGACATTATTTCTTAGATGAGTATTGATTTCTAGGGAAATTGAGTAAAGAAACTTCAAAAGAAACTGGCATGATTTTTTTTTAATAGTACACCTTATGATACTTTTATATTCAACAATATGTGGGCTGCCTTGTTATTTTTACTGCCCTATGTGGCCCCCATAAACTAACGTCTTATTGTTACAATGATCAATAATTTACACAAGAGAATCTAACTAAATCACAATTTTATCGATGTAGAAGTGATTATTCTAAACGAATGAAATACGCTAAATCCCTTAAAGCGTATATGTGGGTAACAAAAGCGGTAATCGGAACAAGTCGACCCCATATTCACTATAAGGCACAAGACGTTCTACTTACCAGAGGTTGTCTTAGATGGTGTAGGGATTCTATTAGCACCTTTCCTTCGGGATCTCCTTACATACGACCTTGAGGCCGTGAAAGAAGCACTCGGCATCTTCACAAGCACTCAAAACTCGAAAATCAAGTCCTAAACAAAGGATTCACTACTACTAGAACTGGCAGCCATTTTCCTAATTCCTGTCCATAACTGGACAGACCAATAACAGTACTATGATACCAGTCACGTGATCGTTAAAATGTCAGAATGGTGTACGGATTTAACGAAACCATTTTTAATTGTTTTATTCCAATTACAATATGTTTCTTATTATCGGTCACTTACGTAGCTAGCCTTTACGTTTGGAAATCCCAACATGAAAGGTAAAATATTTTAAAAGCGTTTACACCAAAATATTCACCATTTATTAATCGACAACTGTAACTCGCGACGGCGCTAACCTACAACAACACGTCTCCCCTCTACTTTTAACAGTGGCGTAACTTGGTTATCGGTTTTGAGAATAAATCAACCGTTTTAATTAAAACCAGTTCAAGTGAAAGTAAAAGAAAAAAAGTTGTGCTCTCTTGTGGAACGTAGAAAAAACAAGTACCAATTAATTTTAAATCAATAGGCAATAAAATTTATCACTAATTTAAGTTTAAAATAACTCTCAAGTTTTGTACGTTAAAAAAGTTTTTCAACTTTTCTGTTTACGTATAAAATAAATCTTTCAATAACTTGAGTATTTTATGAATTTTAATACACATTCACACTAATAAAGAACAATTTTTGTTAGAGAATACCATATATTTAAATTACATTATTTTCCTCAAAAACAGTATAAAAATAAATCAAAATAGAATTATTTTACTGCTATACGCCTTTAGAAAAGCGCCTATGACTTTTTTTTAATTGATAATTACAGCATTCGTTTCTTTCAAAACCAGTTGTGAAAAACATAGTAGTTGGAAATAATTTAATTATATGATTTAAATTGCTACACTTCAAGGGTTAAAATGGCGCTCATTTCTAATTAAATTTACTTGCTTTGGATTTTATTTAGTTTCTAGTTAAAAAAATGTATAATTTACTTATCTTTTTTTAGAAATCATCCAACTACAATAAAACAAAGATTTTTTAGCGTTTTTATAATGATGTTCATTGCACCAATCTTTTTATATATGGGTTTAAGTAAAGGATTACTTGAAAAATATACTCTTTTTGAAATAGCGGGTCTTAAATTACAGGGAATATGTCAAGCTTGTCTGTTACCTTTAGTTTTAACCATGGTATTATTTTTGGGACCACTTTATATGCAATTTCTGAATGGTTTCTTGAATACATATTTAGGTATGTGTTAACAATACAACATACTATCAAAAATTTATATATTTTTTTCTTTCAAGATCCCAACTATTGGATTGAAAATGTTAAAAATTTGAGGTGGTTAAGAAACCACATTGTCGCCCCACTATCAGAAGAATTTACTTTTAGATCTTGCATGCTACCCTTACTTTTACAGTGTTTTTCCCCTATTACAGCGGTCTTTGTCTGCCCTTTATTTTTTGGGGTGGGTAAGTAACAAAAAAAATTATTCCTTTTGAAGTTATGAGAAAAATAAACCAAAAAAGCACACACCTTCTTACATATATATGATATTAGATATTATAGGAAGACGAATCGTTGTTTAAAAATAATTTGTCTAATAATTTTTAGCACATTTCCACCACATGATAGAATTAGTTCGAGACGGAATTAATTTTAAGACAGCATTTTTAATGTCTTGTAAGTACTTACAAAATAAATATTGTTAATTAAAAAAAAGAATGTTTTTTTTTTCAGGTTTCCATTTTTCATTCACAACAATTTTTGGGGCTTATTCGGCATATTTATTTTTGAGAACGGGGCATTTTATGTCGTCATTTATTGTACACGCATTCTGCAACCACATGGGAATGCCCGACGTTTCGGAACTGTTAACTTACAAAGGAACTCAACGCGTTGTAATTATATGCGTGTTTTTTTTAGGGCTTGTCCTCTGGTGCTACTTATTAAATCCATTGACCGAGCCCCAGTGGTTTTACAATGATTATTTTTATAATTATTACACTAAGATTAAAGTGTAATTAAACAATATTGTCAATGACGTCAACAATTTTTAACTGAAATTGCTCAGGATGATAAATACCTAATAATAAAACATTGTACTTTATAAATATTTCTGTTTTCATTTAAAGAAACTTATTGTTAGTTCTTCATTATTCATTATTTCATAACTTAAGATTTCGGTTTGGGAATTCAAATTCTCATAGGAACATATCCATGTGAGTGTGATATTAAATGATCTAATTATAATAAGAAATAAAAACCATTGAAAAAGTTCAAGACCAGAAGTACAGGGATGCTTTAAGTAAAATCATTGCTTGCCTACCACACGGGCGGCCCGGGCTGATGTGACACTTATTTTGATCTTACGATTGGGTGTAATAATGTGACAAAATTGGTTCAATTTCGCCCACGTCCGGTACTATAATAATTAAGTCATTTTTCTGTGAAGAAGTATAATAAAATAACCGCGACTTATTTAATAAACAAAGTTTATTCAATTAATAAACTATGTATTGTAAATGCAAATTCTCAAAATACTTTTATCACAAAATTACTTAAATTGAAGCACAAAACTGTTATCTTGCACTTAATCTCTATATATTTATGTATAATCTGATTACGGAAAACAATTATACTATTTTACACAACGAACAATATCGACGATCACTACAGGAACGATAAATATTTACAATTACAAGCAGTTTAATAAGATTAAATTTGATTTTATTAATTTGACGGTCGGTCTCCATCCTGCACTTGATTTAAAAATGCAAGTATGCTGGATTTGAGTCGTGCAACTGCGGCAAGAGAGGGCGAGGGAGACATACATGGGGTAGAACAATGACTTGTACTTAAATCACACTGATCTAGCATTCTGAGTAACTCCTCTGGAGTTGGACCACCCTCCTTTTTGGCTACAGAAAATTTTACTCATGATATTCAACAAAAACGCATACCAAATATCAAAATATAGCCAAAAAAGTTTTAAGGGATACACCAACTTTAAAAACAAATTTTACAAACATGTTAAATAAACTTCCACTTAAAGTTATCAAGGATACGTTAATTTAATACAAATCTAATAATTTTGCCTGAAATATACCTGTTTCAGACTTTCGGTTTGAGTCAAGTGCAGTTGTCAAATCCCACATTTGGATGGCCCCATTCGCATGACCAGTAAATATAAACCTCCGAGGTCTGGAACCCATCCTATTAGATCCTTCACACTCGTGAACACAAAACGCACTTATTGTAGTACCATCCACTGCTTTTATTAGGCATACCCTAAATAGATTACAAATATGAAAATAATCAATAATAAAGTATTCTTTTTAACAGTAATACTATATAACCTATATACCTAACAGCAAGAAATAAATTAAGTAAAACAACACAAATGGTCGAATTTTGATTAAGAGCGGAACCAGTTCATTAATTCTTTTCAAAAATTTACTTTTATTAAACTACAGACAAGAACGTAAAAATTTTTAGCAACCTAATATTACGCTTTTTGTCAATAGTAAAATTTAACTTCAATATTTCTTAATTTCTAGTTTATGTTATTTTCTTTCGAATTATAATTAAAAACTTACCTGTCACCGTTACTTGCCAATCTTACGTAGAGCTGATCGGTGTCAGGAACGACTTTCTGTATGAAAACTTGCTCATCGTCTTGCTCGCCGAAGGGTCCACAATCGTTGGCTGTCGCGTAACTAATACAAGGCTCCATGGCTTCCAGAGATATTATTTTGAAAGACGCCTCCGGAGTAGATCCGGGTTGCGTAGAGATCATACCACGAAAACGCGTAACTCTCCAACTTCGCACATGGTTGTACTCGCAACAAACAGATACCAAATATTTTTCTGACAACGTCACCTAGAAGCAATAATTTAAGATTTTCTAGTACACTTAATAAGTTAACAAAATATTATATATATCATAAAAGAAATGATGAGTGCTGTCAGCACAGGGCAAAGTAGTATTATGTAGTTAGTATCAGCAATTTCTTATGCTGAAGCGTACAATGTGTTGCATACCTATTTACAAACAATTCCTTTAAATTTAATTTTTCAAACAATCTTTAACACAAAGAAAGTGATTAAACAAATTTTTCAAAATAGTGAATTTCGACTACTCGAAGCAATGGTGCTAACAGTTTCGAATTTACATTGACTGAAAAACTAGTACTAAATAAAAGAAATGATGAGTGCTGTCAGCACAGGGCAAAGTAGTATTATGTAGTTAGTATCAGCAATTTCTTATGCTGAAGTGTACAATGTGTTGCATACCTATTTACAAACATTTCCTTTAAATTTAATTTTTCAAACAATCTTTAACACAAAAAAAGTGATTAAACAAATTTTTCAAAATAGTGAATTTCGACCACTGGAAGCAATGGTGCTAACATTTTCCAGACTACAGTGATTGATAAAAATAAAAAAAATATTTTTTCTTTTCCAAATCATGAATTAATTCATTTTTGAATTAAGAACTCACTTTTTTTGGAATAATTATTTTATTGAAATAATTCGAAATATTTATCCAGTTAATAAAAGCAAATAACAAAACTCACCTTTGTAACCGGACTTTGATGGACAGTAAATGTCTGAAATAGTTGTGGTCCATGTCCTACAGTCTCTGGATGTTGAACTATAACCCTAACACACCCAGATCTTGTACCGTACGCAATTTCTATCCAATTGCCGCATAGATCTGCTTGCAGAAATCAAAAATAAATGTACGATTTTTCCGAACGGAAAAAAAATTATTACAAAATAAAAACAGCATAAGCAAATAAATACTACACCATGATATAGAGCACTATTGTTTATTATATTATGGAATGTACTTGACATTTCAAGCTTTATGTAAATTGAATATTTTGTAACAAAATGTTAATAAAAAAAAATATAATTAAAAAATAAAAAGCAGGAACAATTTTAAATAATCTTCTGTTCAGAAAAAATATAAATCATTTTTCATAAGTAAGCGAAAGCGAGTGACTTTTATGATGAATAAAGTAAGATAAGAGACAAATGGGGCCTTGTGTTGGCATACCAGCAAAAACCAACCAGTATGTATTTTTACATGTAAGTACACAACGTAATAATCATTGTACAATACGGTGCAATGATGTAAAAAAGTAGCATGTAAATGCACTGTTGTGTATGTAACAAAATAACGAAAAACTGAATAAAACAACGAAAATTTAAGCGAGCAACTTTACTATGTCAGCCATACCTTCGCGACCCCTCTCTGACGCTGGCATGAAACACAAGGTTCTCAACAGTTTAGCATGAAAGTAATAAATGAGTTTAATTTGAAATAATGTGATAACATGATAACAAACGCTACTAAACAATAAAAATTTAAAACGATAACTCTCATACTACAGCAAACACTAAAGGGTTAAATTACAGAAAAAAAGATCATACTAACTTACTCGTTTTTGGGGTCAAATAAACGGAAATTGCAGTAACGGGGTCATTGTTAGGATCACGATACAGCTCAGTCACTAACAGATCGTTATCTTTCATTCGCAACGGAAACTTTTGCATATCTGAAAAAAAATAGCTACTGAAATTTATAAATTAAACTATTATAATAAATGATCATTTAATTCAATTAAAAAAGCTATAATAGGATGGGTAAAAGAATATTTTGCTTACCCAACCATTGCTTTTCATACACATAAATAGTAAAATTGTTGTATAAATTCACTAACCAATATAATAAATGCAGCCGTTGTTACTGCCAAGTAGAAGAAAAGAACCGGCAGTGTCAAAAGAGGCTATAGAGAAGACGTCTTGTGTTTGCCAATGTTGGGTCATCGCGTGCCATACTCCCAATTTACCCGAAGGAGAGAGAGCCACTAGCTGACTGCCAATAAAGAACAGGTACTCAACCTTGACATGCAAATTAAACGTTCCTAAAAAATTCAAAAAGAATGCCATAAACTTGGTATTATTATGTGGTAAATAAAAAATTGGAGACTGTAGTGAAGAAACAAATAGATAAAAAACGGACTCGCAATTTCTAGAAATCATAGCAGAACATATGACCTTTGATCACATTATGTTTGTGATAATTATACAAGTGGTGTCTTTTTATTATTGTGTGATAAAGAAGAAAGAAGGAATACAAATTGTAAAAAATTTCTCCTTACCGACATTATTCCTAGTTCCATCTTCTAAAATCCCCCACAACTGTATATGACTTCCACTAGAAATAGCTATCATTTTAGAGGCTTCACCAGCCCCACTTGAACCCATTTTGGCATTGATTGCTATACGTTCTATACAGCTTTCAGTATAAGGACTGGTAAAAACATGCTGCCAACCACTGGAGTCTTTTAATCTTAAATATGAAAATTATAAATGTCACATGTATCTACTTTAATATACAAAAATTACCTGTAACAAACAACAAAATGAGCATATGCTACAGCAATCCAATTATGATGAGCTTTTATAATCTGAACTCTCAGTGGATCTGTCCATGTTGATGCTAAAAAACAATTAAATACAATATTCTTCTACACTTTTATCCTAAGGTATCCAAGTACATCATGTATATTGACAATAAAATGTTTAATTACCATTTGCACCAAAAACTAGGCATACATCATTCTTAAAATATTTATTGAGATCTGCAGATGAATTGCGGGTGTGCCTCAGATCCAGTGATGCTGCTCTGGAGTGACCATTACCTCCTGCAACCCTTGACACAAGGCCTCTTAGGTCCTGGGAACTCCTACTACAACTTCCAGATAAACCAACTCTCATTTCTAATGATGAATTTCTTGAATGACCTTTACATAAAGAATCTGTTATAATTGTATCCCAGTTACTTGTAATTATTAAATCTTACATTCTTGTTAAATAAAAATTTTATAAACCAGAATTTTTACAACCACAAAATGTACCTTCGCCTCCTTCTGATCTTGCCTGAGAAAAACCACAATTAGATTGGACATTACTTAAAGGTGGTCCAGGGCTTGAATAAGGTCTCACGTTTTCATAACCACTTCCTGGATTACTTGATCCATTGGATGATACTGTTGCTCGAAGGTCTGGCAAGTCATGCCTTCCATTTGATTTTCCTTGTTGCTGTTGAGGATTTTTATCATCTATATTGGGTTCATGAACTGGGATACCTAAGAAATTAAAAGAAGTTATTAAGAATGTAGTAATTATTAATAGACTAACTCACTTGGTGGAGGTAAATAGCCATAAAACAATACATCACCACATGTAGATTGTGTCATTTCTTCACATAAAATCAATCTCTTAACTAGAGGAGCAATTCCATAATATTCAGCTTCATGTGTGAGTGTTCTAAGATCAACACCTTTCATATCGATTTCTCTTGTTCTTAAGTAATTTAAAATGATAGCAAAAATTTTGGGATCTCTATCAATAAAAATAGCACCTTTCTCATCACGCAAAGTAGGAATTCTGCCGTTTAAAAGAGCGGTAAAAAATGTATCTGGAATCCATGTCAAGGTTTGGCGAGACGTTGAGAATCTACAAAAACAATGATATTTTTATTATTCAAGAAATTCTGTAAAGTAATTTAACCTTTTGCCTCCAACATTGAGGTGCAAAATATCTCCATTGTATGTTTGATGAAACGAAGTCATTTTTATAAAAAAAAATGCAGAAAATACACTTAAACCGTCCTACACTCAATAGTAGTAATAACAACTATTTTCTTTTTATACTATGATTTCAAAAAGTGCATAAAATAACTTGCTATAACTGCAAACTGTAACAAAAATATCTCGTTTTACCATAACAATACTATTATGACTATTATCATACTATAATGACATTAGACCAGGCATTAGACTATGGACGACTATGGACATTTCATTTCATAGATACTTTATTTTAATATGTTGACGATAGATAATGTTGACTTCGATACATATTGACTGTGGCTCAATACTACCGGAAGGCTTTCTAAAACATTTTTTATAAACGTTACTCTGTGATGACCATTTATCTCTCATCAAATTTAATTTATCGTTAATTTAATTTTTACTGAAATTTTGCAACGGTTTGCAATAAGTTGATTTTCGTAACAAGAAAGAAGAAACACTATTTGTAATATATGACGTTATGTACTATGGTTGTAGAAATCCGTGATGAACGTGGTCTATGGAACATGGCCTATTATCTATGAACATGGCAGAGTGTGGTTATGGACCGTTGTTTGTTTTTTTGAATTATTCATATTTATAATGTACAACAATTTTCGAAAAAAGACTTGGTTTAAGAATAAATCAAAAAAGCCAACTAAAGAGTATAGCAATGCCATTAAAGCAAATGCTTCACGATTTGAACGTACACCTGTTCATGGCTATTATGGGTTTAAACTTTATTTTCCTGAGGGTTTGTTAAACTTTTATATTATTGTTGCATTGAGTGAATAACAATTAAATTTTAGACTCTGTCGATGCAGAATGTATTTTAATGAATACAACAGCTTTTGAAGACTATATACAAAGAAACCAAAAAGACTTTTCGTTTAGCAAGATCAAGCAAGAAAAAGTCTTTTTTATTGATGTGAAAGAACTTTCTGAAGATGATGAATTTTTGAAAAAATGGAAAAGCTTCCCTGATGATATTGTGTGCAACACCGAATACTCTTTGTCATGTTTAAGTTTAGCCATGTACCAAATTTTAATGAAAATAGAGGAAAAAAGACTGAATGGACAACAAAAACAACCTGATTTTTTACCAATTTTAAATACTAGAATAATTAATTTTAATCCGATTTTGCAACTGAAAAATTTAAAAGTTAATTATTTTGGTAAATATTTAAAGCATATAATAGCTATTTTACATAAACTGTTTAATATATCTAGTATATATGTTATACAAAATTGGTTTCAGGAAAGTTAGTCACTGTAAGAGGAACTGTTATAAAAGCTGGCAATGTAAAATTGTTATACAATTACATAGAATTTTCATGTGGTTCTTGTAGTGGTACCCAAGTGGTTAAGCAAATTGGTGGAAACTTGACAATCCCAACAAAATGCCCTACAAAAGGTTGTCGTGCCCAATTTAACTTTACACCATTAATTTTATCACCATATACAATCCATAAAGACTGGCAAACCATTAAATTGCAAGAACTTGTTGGAATAGAGCAAGTACATACATATTTAATAACATTCTTTATAAATTAATTTTACTTCCCCTTTGAATTTAGACTGAAAATGGAAGGATACCACGTACCTTAGAGTGTGAGCTAACAGGTGATTTGGTTAAGTGCTGTATTCCTGGAGATGATATAACAGTTACTGGAGTAATCAAGGTACGATATACTTTTGATTAAATACATTCAAAATGAATTGCCTCAAATTTGTATATATTTACTTTACAGACACAATCTTCAAATGAATCAAGAGGTAAAGAAAAACAGGCATCTGTATTTTTATTGCATATGATGGCAATTACTGTTGTTAACAATAAAAATCAAAGTCATGCTCTCCATGGGGGTGCAAATCATGTAACTTTTAATATTAAGGATTACTATGCAATTCAGGTATAAATTCATAACGGGGTTTGTTTCAAAATAATAGTATTTGTTGTAATTTTATCTTCACATAAATGTAGAGGAGATAAACATAATTAAACATATATGTGAATCTGACCTTTTAATGTGAAGTACAGTCTTCTCATTGCAGAAAATCCATGCAGAACCATCTTTATTTAGATTTTTAGTACATTCCTTATGTCCGAGCATATTTGGCCATGAAATTGTAAAGGCAGGGCTTTTGTTAGCTCTTTTTGGTGGAACTGAAGAACAAACTGATATTAGATGTGTATCTCATGTTTTAATGGTGGGTGATCCTGGCTTAGGGAAATCCCAGTTGCTCCAAGCTTGTACTAATGTTGCACCAAGAGGTAAAACTTATATAAAAATTTATGTATGAAATTATAAATAGTATATTACTAACGAAACTCAAATGAAATATTCTTCTTTTTTGTGGTTTTTGGAATTATTTTAAGGAGTTTATGTTTGTGGAAATACCAGTACCAGTTCAGGTTTAACTGTTACAATGACTAGAGATAATGGAGAGTTTTCATTGGAGGCAGGTGCTTTGGTTTTGGCTGATCAGGGCTGCTGCTGCATTGATGAATTTGATAAAATGACCGGGCAACATTCTGTAAGTACTAAACTAACATCTGAAAATGTGCAGAGCATCAAATTATAAATAAGCAAAATAAAATGAAAGAATGAAAGAAATAAAATGAATAAATTTTGATCATTTGCTTTACATCAGAAAATCTGATAAAATTACTAGGAATAATTTATCAAACAGTAGGAGTGAGTTCAAAACATATCAAATTATAAATAATTTGAAAAGTAATTCAATTTTCCTAGTACTTGAATTGTTCAAATTTAATTTTAAATTTTATGTTTTCTGTAGTGTCTTCTGGAGGTAATGGAGCAGCAAAGCATCAGTATAGCAAAAGCCGGTGTTACATGCAATCTACCCACTAGAACGACCATTCTGGCCGCCGCTAATCCTGCAGGGGGTCATTATAATAAAGCCAAAACAGTATCGGAAAATTTAAAAATGGGTTCACCTCTCCTTTCTCGATTTGATCTTGTTTTCATTATTCTCGACAAACCAGACGAGGTTTACATAACATAAAATGAAATTATTTTGTTTTTATTTGAAACAGTAGGTACTGATGAATTTTATTTGTATTTTGTAGACGGCTGACGCTTTATTATCGGAACATGTCCTTGCTCTGCATTTAGGAATTAGAAAGCGAAACATATTACAAATGGCCGAAGAAGTTATACCCCTAGCTGATGCGACGTTACCTCTGAAGTATTATTTTTTTTTTAAATTTCAAGTTAAAAGTCAATTAAAGTAAACAGTATTGATTAAACGTCAATTACTTATCCTTAATTTAAACTTTAATAACTTTTTTTAATAGAGAACGGTTAAAATTAAAACCTGATGAATGTTTGGATTATCTTCCGCACCAGTTATTCAGAAAATATATCGCATATGCACAAAAATATGTGCACCCCCAGCTTTCAGATGAGGCAGCTGTGATTTTGAAAGAGTTTTATTTAGAGCTGCGAAAAAAATATCAAACAGGTGACAGTACACCGATTACAAAAAGGCAATTGGAATCCTTGCTGAGACTAACACAGGTAATCTATGCGTAATTTTAGTAGTAAGTAATAATACTAAATGTAACATTTATTATCAAATATGTTGAACGACAAAATTCGTGTAATGTTTAATTTACAACAGACATTGGATAGTTTGAACCGAAACACAACACATTAACGAGTATTGTATTTAATATATAATTAATAAAATAAACATACAAACAAAACACAAGTGCCAAATATATCGAGGATTTACAGCAATGGTGAAATATCGCATTTTAAGGCTAATTGAGTCTCGTTTCTATAATCCAATGTTTAGTTTGTTCATAATTATTCACACTATTGAGTATCTACTCTCTACTGTATTAAATAATAAAGATCAAATAAAATGAATGCTTGTGGTAGAAAGAAAAATTCTAATCCAGGTTTTGGATACTTACTCTTACACAGGATATTTGTTCTACTAAAAATTATTGAATTGATAGGCTAGAGCGAAACTTGAGTTACGTGAGGAAGCAACTGCAGAGGATGCGATCGACGTTGTGGAAATAATGAGACACAGTTTAATTGAAACCTTTTTAGACGGTTCAGGAAATCTCGACTTTACAAGATCGCAATTCGGAACGGGAATGAGTAGTCGAAATTTGGTAAATTATATTTACAGTAAAAAAAAGAGAAATAAATGCTATTATATGTTTCATTTAGGCAAAGAGACTGCTTTCTTTACTGCAATATCAAGCTGATTGCCAATGCAAAGGGACTTTTACAATTGAGGAAATAAAAAGATTAGCTGAAGATAATGGAATCAATAAAAGTAAATTCTTCGATGTCTTAAGCAGTTTAAATATTCAGGGATTTCTTATTAAAAAAAGTCCCAATTCTTATCAGCTTACGAGTGCTGATTCATAAAATAAAGAAAATAGTTATTACAGCTTTATTGTTGTTGTTGACGTTCCGTTCTCAGTCACAGAAGGGGTATCTTCAAGACTGACAGGAAATATCAAGTATCACAATTAATTTTATTAATGTAAAATAATCTATTTTCTTTATCCGTTCACCACCGGGGTTTTCGATACTGTAAGAACTCTAATAAATATATTTATTAATTTTAATTGTAGCATGTAATTTTATCGCAATATAATTAATTATTAAATAGTTATCACCTATTTAAGGAAAAAGAATTGTATCGGCCAGGAATAATAGTATGATCTTGTCAATCATTGTTAAGGAACGCACCTAAAATTTTATGCTGAGAATTTAAATTTCAATGTTGGTAGTAAAATATTTCAATTTTTGTTTGTTTGACGTATGTGTGTGCAACGGTTATAGTTTGAAAGGTAGTTTTGAATACAGCATAAAAATTAGTGTTTAGGAAGTAAAAGTCTTTCAGATTAAAAATTCAAAGAAAAAACTAATAAAGGTGGTGAGAGATTTGTTACACCGGTGATATCGTATTATTCTTTTTATACTACTTAAATTTGCATCAACTCATAAACGATAAGGCATTAGTGCCTTCTTACATTCTGTTAAACAAATTTTGTTCAAGCAATTTGGAAAATGCCAAGAACAAAACAAACCCGACGAAAAGTAAATGCTAAAACTACTCGGCCAGGAGATATAGATTTTCAGGAACTAATTGCTCTTGGTAACTTACTTTAGTATAAATTGTATCCCACACAGCATAATTTTTTCTTCTAGAAACTGATTTAAACCTACACTTAGAAACTGAGGACAAAAAAATAAAAACAGAAATCGAAACGCTATTAAAAGAAACACTATTTACCTTTTCTGAAAAGGATATGAGTAAAACTTTGTATGAATTGGTACTACACTATACATTTTCAACTACATTTGTAATTTAAGCATGATTTTATTATTTCCAGGGAAGTGAACATACCACAGACATTTCAAAGCTTACAGATTTTTCTTCAATACGAAATATTACTGCATCTTCTGTGAAAAGTCATCCTGTTCGTAGTTTATCATGTGGAGATGATGAAGGTATTATTTGAAATTGCTTTTTGTATTCTAACATTATTAATAGTTAATGCAATTATTTATGTTTTCATTCATATTTTTCTCATATATTTATTTAACTTTTGGTTGTGGTATAATATAAGCTTAACTAATTTAAATTGGAAGGGCCAATTATAATAATAATAACCCTAGTAAAAGTTTCACTCACCTCTCATTGACTAATAAATATTAAATACTGGCTACCCAGGATATCTTACTGCAGGAAGTGGTGAAGGTACCCGAAAATCAAGATCAAGAGCCCCCAAAAATACTATTAAAAAATCTGCTCGACCTTCTCGATCTTTATCACGTACGAATCGTACTAAATGCACCTTGAATTCGTTCACTACACCCATAGACAAAGGAAAACCCCCACAAGCAGGCATTAACAGTGTAACCCCCAAGGTATGTAATAAATAAAGTGTAAAGAAAATATAATAGTAAATATATAAAGAAAACTAAAGTGCATTTTATTCATATTCATAAATTGCTTATTTTTTTAGATGAACCCAAGTATACCTCAAGTTGTTCTAAGACGGCCAAAACAAGGTGAAATGGCTATATCGCTTCAAGGTAGTCCCTTGATGGTGAGCAGTCTTGTTAGTGATGCTGTAGCAAATGTTAATATACCCCTAAACGATGGTCGGATACTTACAATTCAACCCCAAAGGGGTCTTAGACATTCCCAAATACCCAATTTTTCACCAGCTACTAGAAGACAAATTGAAACTCTACGAGACAATTTGAACAAAGTATGTGCTTTGAATTTCAAAAATTAATTTATTCATAATTAATATTTCCTCTTTATTGTATGTTAATCTATACTCTTGTTTTTTCAAAAAGTTCATTATTTGAATACTTTTTTTTTCTTTACCATTATTAAAGAAGTTTTAATGGAGTTACTCTTTTTATAAATTCAGTAAATTATACAATCTCTCCATACAAATGAATTTGCAATAGACAACCTTTCTTGTTTCATGGAAGGAAGAAATGTATATTTGTAATATATACTCTCATTTAAAAAAGAGAAATAAGTATTACAATATTTTTTATAAAAAAACTAATTAAGAAGCAGTTAAATTAGCAATTACTTGTTTATAATTATCAGTTTCAAAATAGTCTTTATTCAACCATTAATTGATACAAATAAATTTATAGTACAATAGTTTAATAAATGCATAATTTGCTCCAATAAAATATCTTTTGCTATAAATAGGAGATTTACTTTGGACTGTTTTTCTCATCCCAAATAGTAATGCCATCACATGAACAAATTGTCTTAGGATTTTGAAACAGTCCAGAGGATCTTGCAATTACACCACAAGCTAATCTATTACCACCAGTTGGTAATTCTGTTACAACCAAAGATCTTCCTATTATTTCTGGGACTTTAACAACACAATCAGCCAAGCGAAATGAAGCTCTTCCATCTTCCTCTGCTGCCACAATCCCTAAATCACCATAAATCCTCTCATCTCCTCCTGCCTTTATTAACTTTGGATTAAAACATTCTCCAATATTATTGCAACCTAATGAAATATTGTTTTCATACATTTATTAAATCAAGACAGACATTTAGAAGTACTTTTACCATTTGATATATCTCCACATTCATTAACAAACAATCCATGTTTTCCTGGATTTAATCCGTCAATAGTTCCATCTATAATACAGGTATTTGGATCTACCTGCATGAAGCGAACTACCCCTTTAACTACACCACTACCAATTTCCAAAACACAAACTGCAGCTGATGTCCCTGCATATCCTTTAACGACAGCCTTTCTTCCTGTAGATTGTAGTTTTTGTAAAATTTCTTCAGTACGGAGTGTGGAATCGACTACGACAGTGTTAGTATCTAAATTAACATCCACAGAACTGACACCCGGAACATCCAGACTCTTTTTTACTGATTTTACGCAAGAATCGCATGTCATCTGAACTGCAAATTCTACTTTAGTGGACATAGTTGTTTTTAATGAAATAATTGCTGATTCATAACGAATTTTTCCAAAACATAACGTTACTTTCCAACTTCTACAACATTTATTTCAGATTTATTCTTATCTGACAGCAGCTATAACCCTAAATTTTTAATCTGACAAGAATATTTTGTAGGCAGTGTTCAATTTATTAATGTAAATGCAATCAAACAGGGTCGATGTGATGCAGGTACGTTTATAATCCCATACATTTACATATTCTTCTTATTTATGAATATACGTTAAAAAGAGGAACAGTATAGTGTATTTATCTTATTTAAAGCAAAACTAATATCATACTAATAAACATTAAATATTAAATTAAAAATCAGCAACCAAAGTGATCGTCAGATGCCAATCAGATCGGCCAGATCACTGTTTTGTTGCTTTTGTGTATGATGACCGGCTCTTTTTTATCATATGGTTTATGAAAATAATGTTCTGAACAAATCTACAAATAACACGACAAACAATGACAAATTAAATAAGTACCGGATAATGTAATAAAGACTTGTTACAAGAGTGCCATTTAACTAGTTGTTAGGGAGTGTATACGTTGGTAGATAATAATATCGCAAATTACAGATATTTTAATATCTTATCAGAAAAATGTAAATTAAATAAGATTTTGTTTGTGCCGTGCTTTGTAAACAATGTAATTTTGGCAATGATCACAAAATTGGACTCTTTTTTCATTGTTTTATTTCTACTTATTTTATTTTTGGCAGAAGGTGAGTAATGAGCTTCTTTTTGTCTTCCAAAAATTATTTATTTATTTTCAGGTGGGTCGATTGATTTAAGGCCTTGTGATGATACTGATTTAGTAAATGAATATTGTGGTTTAAATGAAACATGTGAGAGTGGATATTGTCACTGTTTACCCGGATATATAAGAGTTAATTCAACAACACAATGTGCTTATGACACAAGAGCTGATAACTCTCAAACTTCTAAGCCATCAAAGTTTACTGATAACGAAAATGAAAACACAAGCAAATCCCACTTAGCTGAAAGTATTCTTATTCCTACTTTGTTTATCATTATTATTGTGATATGTTCAATTTATTTCATACGTAAATATAGGCTAGTTAATTATATACGCAACAAAATATCTAGCCAAAGAAGTATAGCTTATGATGAGGTCATGATTGGGAGAGATCTTGAAGATGATGATCCTCCATTAACATAAATGTATTTCAATAAATTGAAGATGTTTTACTCTTGCTTTTCTTTTAAAAAATGGTACATAATTAGGTAACTGTAAATATTTTGTTTAAATAAAAGAAATTATGTATACAGTTTTCAATTTTATTTATCATGTAAAATTCAACATTAATGTGTGTCTTATATTTTGTAATTAGTAATTTACTTCTAATCTTCAAAGTAGCTGTATAAGATGAGCTTAAATGCCACTTTGAAAAAGAATATAAGAATTGTACATCTACATTGAATATCAAGAAATTAATAATAGGATGATAAAAAAAGAAAGTTATTATGGAGAAATTACCTAGTAAAAATTAATAAGTAATGTGATATTCTCTGTTTTTAATCTCATTAGATTTTCAGTTACATTTGGGATTCCTCCGGGTGTGACGGTTAAACACTGCTCTTATTAAAGGAACGCACCCACTTGTACAATTCTGCGCAGATACAAAAAAAATGGTGACTAAAATCTATGGTGAAATGAAATGAGACAAGACAAGACCAGACAAGACGTAGTCCAACTGGAATGTCACACGTCAGAAATTTAATTTTGTGAGAATTAACTTGTACGTTTTGGGTTTGTTTAAGTTTGGGTCAGTAATGAAATAAAGTATTTTTTTGTGGAATTATCATTTTATTTGGTGATATTGTTAAACATTTTCTAAATAACTGATAATAATATCAGTCGGTACTGTTCATGGGGATCCAATGTGTCGTTATTTAGTTTGAATGTATCTAATATTGTATTGCATTTGATAATTACTAACGTAAGTACTTGTTTTGTGATATTCTCCCTTTTATATAAAATACACAGAATAGTAGAAGTAAGGTTAGTATCTCTTTTTTGTAGGAAAAAATGTCTGATTTCGGTGACTGGTATAAAAATGTACCTGTCTTTACAAAGTATTGGTTGACTTTAACAGTTGGTTTTACATTATTGGGTAGATTTGGGTTTGTACAACCTTATCATTTGCTATTATTGTATGAGCCTCTGAAAAGATTTCAAATATGGAGATTAATTACCTGTGTTTTCTACTACCCTTTAAGTCCTTCTTCAGGTTTCCACTTCTTAATAAATCTATATTTTTTGTACAATTATTCCCTAAGATTGGAGACAGGTAAAGTAAACCTACATGTTTTACCACTGTAACTATATAATTCATTCAATTTTTAGGTCAATACCAGGGAAAACCTGCAGATTATCTTTTTCTGCTTATATTTAATTGGCTTTGTTGTATAGTCATTGGATTAATAGCAGAAATATATGTAAATATCAATTAATTTTCTAGTTTCTAATAACGTGTACATGGTTATTTTTTTATAGTTACTCATGGACCCCATGGTTCTTTCAGTTTTGTATGTGTGGTGTCAACTTAACAAAGATACAATTGTGAATTTCTGGTTTGGTACAAGATTTAAAGCAATGTATTTGCCATGGGTGCTTTTAGCATTCAACATGATCATATCAGGAGGTGGCATAATGGAATTGGTTGGAATTTTGGTTGGGCATTTATACTTTTTCCTTATGTTTAAATACCCTCAAGAATTGGGTGGACCAGTTTTAATTCAGACCCCATCTATATTGAAACAGTGGTTTCCAGACACTGTTGGTGGTGTTCATGGATTTGGTAGACCTCCACCTCGACCTACTGCTCCAACTAGGGATGGTGGCATGTTTAGAAGACATAATTGGGGATCAGGTCAAGTTCTAGGAGGTAATTAAGTTCTTTTGGTATTTTATTTGTTTTTATATATTAAGATTGTACTAATAGAGCAAGTTTTCTTGAATAAACTTATGTCATCAGGTACAAGTTAAATTGGTAAATTTGATTGAAATATGAACGATTTTTGTATATTCATTATTTAAGTTATTTCTTTAAAAATAAAAGTTGAAGAAAATCTACAATTTAATCCTTTGACATTTTTATTACCCATTATTCTTTAAACTTATATCAGTTAGTACATGTTATGATAAATGTAAACGAATTATTTTCTGTCTGCGTTCAAATTTTGAATTATAAAAAGTAAATGTTTATTTTACCCATCTTTAATAATTTGTTATTTAAATTACTACTAGTATTACTGTTTATACGTTTGCAAAAGAAAAACCTTTTGTGACTAATTTTATTATTTTTTTTTTGTAATATTGAAGCAAATAATTGAAAGCAACTTTTCCATTATCATGATAATTCTATGGTTAATTTTAACTGTTTTCCATAGAATGTATCTTTTGCACTGTGGTTGCAACATTCTGCGTGTGTTTATAGTAAGTACCCGAAAGATATTTACGAATTATCTTATGATTATTATTGCATCCACGCATTTAATGTATTTTGAAGGCGTTCATTAAATTTAAGATTAATACTTATAGAATTATTTTTATTGTTTTAGGATCATCGTAAAAATGTCCGACACCGAAAGGTAGGTTTGTTTTTGGATTGAAATTTTAACACTACATTTTTACCGTTTATTAACTATGAAATGATGAAGTTATTGGCAGGCTCCCTCTTCTGAGGAACCCGTTACAAATTCCGTGCTGTTAAATTGCCATCTGATATAATTGGAAAAATAATAAATGATAGGTTAGTTAGTAACCATACTTTTTCTAACACGATTGTTTTATGTTTAGTAATGTTCCCACAAGTGCTGTGGCATCCGGAGGATCAATGGATGTGAATCAAGCTCTCCAGGAGGTATTGAAAAATGCTCTTGTTCATGATGGTTTAGTTCGTGGTTTACATGAAGCTGCTAAAGCATTAGACAAGCGGCAAGCACTTTTATGTGTTTTGGCTGAAAATTGTGATGAACCCATGTACAAGAAACTTGTTACAGCTTTGTGTTCTGAACATCAAATTCCTTTAATTAAAGTAGACAAAAATAAAATGCTAGGTGAATGGGCTGGGCTATGTAAAATTGATAGTGCTGGAAAGGCAAGGAAAGTGGTAGGATGCTTTAGATTTTCAGTTACATTTGGGATTCCTCCGGGTGTGACGGTTAAACACTGCTCTTATTAAAGGAACGCACCCACTTGTACAATTCTGCGCAGATACAAAAAAAATGGTGACTAAAATCTATGGTGAAATGAAATGAGACAAGACAAGACCAGACAAGACGTAGTCCAACTGGAATGTCACACGTCAGAAATTTAATTTTGTGAGAATTAACTTGTACGTTTTGGGTTTGTTTAAGTTTGGGTCAGTAATGAAATAAAGTATTTTTTTGTGGAATTATCATTTTATTTGGTGATATTGTTAAACATTTTCTAAATAACTGATAATAATATCAGTCGGTACTGTTCATGGGGATCCAATGTGTCGTTATTTAGTTTGAATGTATCTAATATTGTATTGCATTTGATAATTACTAACGTAAGTACTTGTTTTGTGATATTCTCCCTTTTATATAAAATACACAGAATAGTAGAAGTAAGGTTAGTATCTCTTTTTTGTAGGAAAAAATGTCTGATTTCGGTGACTGGTATAAAAATGTACCTGTCTTTACAAAGTATTGGTTGACTTTAACAGTTGGTTTTACATTATTGGGTAGATTTGGGTTTGTACAACCTTATCATTTGCTATTATTGTATGAGCCTCTGAAAAGATTTCAAATATGGAGATTAATTACCTGTGTTTTCTACTACCCTTTAAGTCCTTCTTCAGGTTTCCACTTCTTAATAAATCTATATTTTTTGTACAATTATTCCCTAAGATTGGAGACAGGTAAAGTAAACCTACATGTTTTACCACTGTAACTATATAATTCATTCAATTTTTAGGTCAATACCAGGGAAAACCTGCAGATTATCTTTTTCTGCTTATATTTAATTGGCTTTGTTGTATAGTCATTGGATTAATAGCAGAAATATATGTAAATATCAATTAATTTTCTAGTTTCTAATAACGTGTACATGGTTATTTTTTTATAGTTACTCATGGACCCCATGGTTCTTTCAGTTTTGTATGTGTGGTGTCAACTTAACAAAGATACAATTGTGAATTTCTGGTTTGGTACAAGATTTAAAGCAATGTATTTGCCATGGGTGCTTTTAGCATTCAACATGATCATATCAGGAGGTGGCANATAGTATCTGGGGATATCAAAATTAATTTTTTAAAAAAGATAAAGATGATATAGATTCTCTTGTTAGAGTGTCTGTAATGTAATTAACATTTTCAAATTATTAAAAACTAAGAAAGCAACATCTGCCATTCCAATAGACTGCAGCATGTATTTTCGGTTTATTCAGCATTACATTCATCTTTGTGTTGAGTCCAATGTTCTACTTGGCACCTTCTTGAACAGTACCATTGCTTCTTACAGCGAGAACACCTTTGAATTGCTTTATTGTCACACTTAGCACATTTATTACCTGTATCTTGATTTTCAAAAGCTTCCAGTAAAGTTGTATTATAGGCTTCATTTAATCTAAAATATTATTTTAAAAAATTAGAAATAAGATGAAGCATAAAATTATATGTAGTCTTACGTCTGGGCAATTTCTAATAATTCTTTTTTGTCAGAGCAAAAAACAGTACCCATTTGCTGTCTCGCTATTGCTTTCCATTTTTTTTCATTTTCCTTAAGAATCCCGTTTTTAATTTTTAAAATGTTTTCTATTATAAGCGATTTGGGTTGAGATGCCGGATGTTGGTCAATTGAAAGGGAACATAGGTGGTATTTAAGTTCTTGTAAAAGTGCCAATTGATCAATAAGCGTTTCAGTAAGAAGGGGAAGTACCTTTAATAATTGCGTTTTTCGGGATTCAGTCAAAAAGTAATGCGTTGAAACGAGAGGGTTTAATAAGAGTGCATGTAAAGTTAGCCAAACCTCAAAAAGAATAAGTATTCATTATGAACAATTTAAAATTGGTTTATAATTAATTGTATGAATTACTTGCGCTTCGATTTTATTCAGTGCTTCCCCGTCCCAGTCATACCATCGACCTCCACAAAAGCTCTTCCCTTGATCAATCCAAGGTCTCTCTAATAGTATTTGAACGAGTAAAACAGGTACATCGTTTTCTTGATACATACCAGTGCAAACACTTAGTGGTAGCCTGCAATTAATGAGTCAGTCGTATAAGTATGAATGAGCTGCCCCTTAAGCTATATATCATATATTTTTGTGCAAATTACTACTAGTTTATATTATTTTTCATAACTCCTCAATAGTTTACTAGTAAACAATAAGTTGAAAAACATTTTTGTTACTGATATATACATCAGTGCAACCAAGAATCAGAAGCAGTAACTTTCCTGTAAAACATAGTCCTCGGTTATGTTGGTCTTAAAATAATTTAAAAAGGGGGTTTTTACTGAAAAAAAAAATGTCCATTGTAAGTTTTTTAAGAAAAACTAAAAATACCCACTCAGGGTAAAATTTTATTTGTAATTCGCTTTTAAAAAATATCTTAATTTGAAATAAGTATTTACATATTTAATTGAACTGCAAGATATTATTTAGTTTAAAACATCACTATAAAAAACAAATTATAAAATTTTTCTTCGGTCTTGAAAGTACCTTAAACACAAATTGTTTACCTCTCTAAATATTCTGCCATGTATCTGATAATCGTCAAGCACCTCATCCCGATTTCGAAAGCCAAGTCATTTTTTTGTCGATTTATTTCTTTTTTACCCTTTTCTTGTAAATTGACCGGTGATTTTTTAACAACCAATAGTTGACTTGCAGAAATGCTAGCATAATCTAATAAATCTGCACCCACTTCATCTAGTGATTCAGACACGGGTCCATGGAACATTACCAATTCCAAAAGTGCTACACAAACTGCTTCGTGATATAATATTGAATAAACTATAAAAGTTGAATTAGTGTTTGGGTTCAGCTTGAGAAGAAGTGGAAGCACTTTGTTTTTCCAAATGTTTATTAGTATTGCCTCGTGAACCAAAATAGGTACCTTAAGTAAGATAAAAAACGGAAAATGTAACAATATGCATACAAAAAATTTATTTATCATTGTTATTTAAAGAAAAGTTGGTATTATAATACAGTTTGAAGAAATGATCTAAGACTGTTCTAAAATATAATTAATTTCAAATGTTTAGTAGAAAACAGATAATAATTTTCATATTAATTACTTCATCACACTTTTGGGTCTTAATTTTCCTTTTAAAAACGAAAATACTTAAAATATGCAAAAAACGCAAACTTGTTATAATGGAGTTACAGAAAGTTGAAGCTTTTTCTATTTAGTTGTTATAAGGTTTGTTCTGTTACCTTTCCAAATGAAAGTAATGTTTCCTTAACATTTTCGTCTTGCATTGTGGATGCTTCTATAATTGCTTGTTGATTGAGCTTTTGTAATCGTTTGTGCCATTCTATCCATCTGAAATAGATTGAATTGTAAATGTGCAAGTCATAACAAAATATGTGCCCAATTAACGTAGAGCCTAGCCTTTTTTGCATTTTGTAAAACTTACGATTTGGATCCTAAGTCTTCAATTTTTTGTAATTTCATGGTATCAACATAAAACTCAGTTTCACTTGATAACAACACACTTTCCATTATAATTGAATTTTTAATCAAATTGCAAAATAGCTGTCAGTGTTTCTGTGTTATGATTGTGATATGACATATTGATCAAACAAAAGGGTGTTCCTTTGTTTCTTTTTTTTAACATAAACTCAAGTATGATCACTAAAATGTTAGCAACTGTTTAATTCACAAACAAATTCATGCTGTTTTTAGCTGTTATTTAATGAACATTTAGAGGGGAAAATTTTAGTAATCTCAAGCTTAAAAAAACAAAAATTTTAACACATACTTAGTTAAATTTTCATGGTGACTAACTTTATATCAACAGATTTTAACGATTAAAAAGTGGTGTTAACTTCACATAAAGCAACACAAACTTTAAATACTGTCACCTGAAATCATTCCTATTAATATATAGTAAGTAATAAAGCTGCAGTTTTGTTAATTAGTACCATTGTAATTTTCAGTCTTCACTACCATACTCTTCACATATCCTTCAAATTTAGAGTGACGATTCATATTGCGTTATATACGACTAATTGTCAATAATAACGTTAATAAACTGGTGAAGATCATTAATTACTGTGGATACATGTGTTGAAGAAGAACTGTTCGTCATAAGTTGGTTCACATCAGCCTTGTAATTTATTCTGAAAACAACGAATTAAAAATAAAACCATTCTAAGCTAAATAATGGAAAGGTTTCAAAAATATTACATTAAATTTATACTGTGATATATTTTGTTTCATTACCCATTTTCGATCGTCTCTAACCTATAATATAACCTACAATGCGAAATTAAGTATATATTTACTGAAAATTCCATTAAAAAAGCAAGCTATAATCCAATTTACAGAAAAATAATTACAACGATTTAATTAATTAATATTATACGTTAACGTTACA